CACGCCCCCTTGTTATCCTGTCTGCTCGTTTGTCTCTGATTATTTAAGCCCTGTGTTTCTGCCCTGTCTTTGTCAGTTATTGAATCTATTTACGAGTGTCTTGGCTGTTCTGAGTTTACCCGAGTCTGCATTATTAAAGTCTACTGCTGCATTTAGATCCGACTACCGCCTTTGCTTCCACGCAATTCTTAACACATATATTATAAATATATTTAGTCCAGTGCAGAGGTCAAAAATACAAACATGTACATACATGTTGCTCACATATTATGGTAGCCCCGTTTGTGCTATATAGAGTGAATTTACACCTTTGCCATTAACATGTTTATAAATAACTGAAAAAAGCACAAATGTCAGTGCATGTCAAAACATCCCAAGGGCCTCAAAAAACCCTTGGTCCCCAGAGGGTTAAGCGGATTAAGCATATCACCCATACGAGCATTACAATAATCTAGCCTTGAGGTCATCGTATTTACTTCCGCGTTGCAAAATAAGGTGAATACTGTATTTATCACATAGTTGACCGTATTTGACGTGCCAGAGGTTTTGTTGTGTGTTCAGCACCTGCTGGACGTGAAATCGCTGAAGTATCTGAGCTGTCTGACGCTTCACGACCGCATAACCAAATCACTCCTGCACCTGCACAAGAAGAAGAAGCCGCCCAGCATCAGCGCGCAGTTCAACGTGAGCATTTTTATTTGTTTATTATTTTTATTATGTTTCAACACACACAAACAAGGTACTTTAGCAAATCTCTGAATGTAACCGCAATTGTTCAGCCTTAGGTTGAGCTGAGCTAGAACCAAAACAGAAAAATGTTCAGCGCGAGCGTTTAACTCTTACTTATCTGTGTTGTGTCTTGTGTTCGTGATGTAGGTTTCTCTGAACAAGCTGATGGAGACGCTGGGACAGTCCGAGCCGTACTTCGTGAAGTGCATCCGCTCTAATGCAGAAAAGGTAGATTATGTGTCCTGTTTCTGTCACGGCATCGCTAGATTTAGATGCGCGGTTTGATTAGCGTCGTTGTTTCGTAGCTTCCTCTGCGTTTCAACGACGCGCTGGTGTTGAGACAGCTGAGATACACTGGGATGCTGGAGACCGTGAGGATTCGGCAGTCTGGATACAGCGTCAAGTACAGCTTTCAGGTGAGAAAACTCTATTCAACACACGCGTCAAGTCAGCAAAACTCATCAATTAAACAGAAAACAGTGATTCGGCTCAGTTCAATTCAATGGTGATTTAATTCAGTCCAATAACAGTGTCAATGTTGGAACAAAATGTTGATTCAGTTCAGTTCAATAACAGTCAATGTTGCAAAGTTCAATTATGAAACAAATTCAATTCAGTTTAATGTTTTTACAATTCAGTTCAATAACAGTCAGTGTTGCAAAGTTCATCAATTGTGAAACCAATTCAATTCAGTTCAATAACAGTCGATGTTGCAAAGTTCATTATGAAAGAAATTCAATTCAGCTCAATGTTGATTTAATTCAGTTCAATAACAGCGTCAATATTGTAGATTTCATCAATTATGAAACAAATTCAATTCAGTTCAACATTAATTCAATTCAGTTCAATAACATTCAATGTTGCAAAGTTCATCAATTATGAAACCAATTCAATTCAGTTCAAAAACAGTCATTGTTGCAAAGTTCATTAATTATTAAACAAATTCATATCAGTTTAACAACATTCGATGTTGCAAAGTTCATCAATTATGAAGGAAATTCAATTCATCTCAATGTTGATTTAATTCAGTACAATAACAGTCAATGTTGCAAAGTTCAATTATGAAACAAATTTAATTCAGCTCAATGTTGATTCAGTTCAATAACAGCGTCAATGTTGCAAAGTTAATCAATTCTAAAACAAATTCAATTCAGTTTAATGTTAATTCAGTTCAGTTCAATAACAGTGTCAATGTTGCAAATTTCATCAGTTATGAAACAAATTCAATTCAGTTTAATGTTAATTCAGTTCAGTTCAATAACAGAGTCCATGTTGCAAAGTTCATCAATAATGAAATAAATTCAATTCAGTTCAATAACAGTGTCAATGTTGCAAATTTCATTATGAAAAAAATTCAGTCAGCAGTCAACAGTCAATTTTGCAAAGTTCATCAACTATGAATCAAATTCAAATCAGTTTAATAACAGTCAATGTTGCAGATTTCATCAATTATGAAACAAATTCAATTCAGTTCCATTTGATTAAATTCAGTCCAAAAACAGTATTGATGTTGCACAGTTTGTCAATTAGGAAACAAATATGATTCATCTGTAAAACAGCTCTACAGAACACAGTAGTCTCATTATCCAGGTCAGGGTTTTGTCAGTGCAGTTGAACCGATAATATTTCTGAATTATTACGTGTTAATTATTAATATTACGTGTCTCTTCAGGATTTTGCTCATCATTTCCACGTGCTTTTACCCGCTGGATTTCCCGGCGCTCAGTCGGCCATCAGACAGTTCCTGCAGAGCGCAGAGCTCGAGCCGGACGGGTATCAAGTGGGCAGAAACATGGTAACAAACACATTCCTACAGACCCTTTATGTGCCGGGGTCACGATTGAGTTAGCTGGAGGCAGAACTGGAGGCGGCCAATACAAACCAGCACAGATTCGAGTACATAAGGAGCTTCAAATATCATTTTGTTGTGGTGTTGGGTGCCAGAATCGACCGAGTACAGTGTTTAATTAGCAATTTTATCGGATAATGTTTTCTAAACTATTGTGATTATTTGTGAATCATCTGTGATTGTATATATTGTTGCGACTAGACAAACCTGGTAAGAAAGAATAATCAAATACATAAAGTTCAAAAATCTTTATTTCTAGAAAATGTTCACATCTTTAAAATTGCACTGTAGTGTCACTCTTTACGGATCGAACCACACAAGTCGTGTACGTGACCATTCAATATAGTTATATTAGGTTTCGTACGAGGTGCTTAAAATGCTTAAAGTATTTGAATTTGACTTTTAAGAAATGTAAGTCCTGGAAAACCCATGAAAACAGCCATATTTGTGAAAAGGTACTTGAAAAGCGCTTGAATGTGATATATATATATATATATATGATAAGCGATCGTTAGATTTAATCAGCGCGATTTACTGCAATGCTTTTTCTCTTAGTTGGTCAGAACAAACGTGGATGTTACTTGTTCAGAGGACATTTTAGGGTGAAAAGTGTTATGTTGGCCATACTTCCAAAAAGTATAATCTATGATTCTGAACGGCAGTATCCACACCGGCGGCGACTGACACACACTCTCCTCAAACATTGTGTTCATCTGCGCTGTGCCGTGCCGAGGCACAACTCACGTAAAGCTGATCATTCCGCGAATAACTGCAATTGCAGATTCCGAACAGAGATGTCGACAAAGAGGAAAAACTATGGACTGCTTTAAATATTAAGATAAAATTGGATTTCGTTGTTAAAAAAAAACTTGCTAACTAGCGTTAGTGAAGCGGCCAGAGAAATTGTTCTGCCTCCACCTAAGCTCCGCCCACAAAACAAGTCCCAAAGGGGTGTGTTATTCACACCGCCGGTCCTGATACGCCGGGTCACGACACTGATGGAGTGTGTGTGTGTGTGTGTTCCTGCAGGTGTTTCTGCGAGAGCGTCTGCGTCAGAAGCTTCAGGACGAGCTTCATCAGGAGGTGTTGAGGAGGATCGTGTGTTTGCAGAGACGCTTCCGGACGAAGCAGGAGAGAAGACACTTCAGCCGGCAGAGACGAGCCGCACGCCTCATTCAGGTACAGCTATTATAGAGATGTGTCTCTGCTATTATAGAAATATATCTCTGCTATTATAGAGATCTGTCTCAGCTATTATAGAGATGTATCTCTGCTATTATAGAAATATATCTCTGTTATTATAGAGATGTGTCTCTGCTATTATAGAAATATATGTCTGCTATTATAGAGATCTGTCTCAGCTATTATAGAGATGTATCTCTGCTATTATAGAAATATATCTCTGTTATTATAGAGATGTGTCTCTGCTATTATAGAAATATATGTCTGCTATTATAGAGATCTGTCTCAGCTATTATAGAGATGTGTCTCTGCTATTATAGAAATATATCTCTGCTATTATAGAGATGTGTCTCTGCTATTATAGAGATGTGTCTCTGCTATTATAGAGATGTATCTCTGCTATTATAGAGATGTGTCTCTGCTATTATAGAAATATATGTCTGCTATTATAGAGATCTGTCTCAGCTATTATAGAGATGTATCTCTGCTATTATAGAGATGTATCTCTGCTATTATAGAAATATATCTCTGCTATTATAGAGATGTATCTCTGCTATTATAGAAATATATCTCTGCTATTATAGAGATCTGTCTCAGCTATTATAGAGATGTGTCTCAGCTATTATAGAAATGTCTCAGCTATTATAGAGATGTGTCTCAGCTATTATAGAGATGTATCTCTGCTATCATAGAGATGTGTCTCTGCTATTATAGAAATATATCTCTGCTATTATAGAAATGTCTCAGGTATTATAGAGATGTGTCTCAGCTATTATAGAGATGTGTCTCTGCTATTATAGAAATATATCTCTGCTATTATAGAAATGTCTCAGGTATTATAGAGATGTGTCTCAGCTATTATAGAGATGTGTCTCAGCTATTATAGAAATATATCTCTGCTATTATAGAGATGTGTCTCAGCTATTATAGAGATGTGTCTCTGCTATTATAGAGATGTATCTCTGCTATTATAGAGATGTGTCTCTGCTATTATAGAGATGTATCTCTGCTATTATAGAGATGTATCTCTGCTATTATAGAAATATATGTCTGCTATTATAGAGATGTGTCTCAGCTATTATAGAGATGTGTCTCTGCTATTATAGAGATGTGTCTCTGCTATTATAGAGATGTATCTCTGCTATTATAGAGATGTGTCTCTGCTATTATAGAAATATATGTCTGCTATTATAGAGATCTGTCTCAGCTATTATAGAGATGTATCTCTGCTATTATAGAGATGTATCTCTGCTATTATAGAGATGTATCTCTGCTATTATAGAGATGTATCTCTGCTATTATAGAGATGTATCTCAGCTATTATAGAGATGTGTCTTTGCTATTATAGAGATGTATCTCTGGTATTATAGAGATGTGTCTCTGCTATTATAGAGATGTATCTCTGCTATTATAGAGATGTATCTCTGCTATTATAGAAATATATGTCTGCTATTATAGAGATGTGTCTCAGCTATTATAGAGATGTGTCTCTGCTATTATAGAGATGTGTCTCTGCTATTATAGAGATGTATCTCTGCTATTATAGAGATGTATCTCTGCTATTATAGAGATGTATCTCTGCTATTATAGAGATCTGTCTCAGCTATTATAGAGATGTATCTCTGCTATTATAGAGATGTATCTCTGCTATTATAGAGATGTGTCTCAGCTATTATAGAGATGTATCTCTGCTATTATAGAAATATATCTCTGCTATTATAGAGATCTGTCTCAGCTATTATAGAGATGTATCTCTGCTATTATAGAGATGTATCTCTGCTATTATAGAGATGTGTCTCTGCTATTATAGAAATATATCTCTGCTATTATAGAAATGTCTCAGCTATTATAGAGATGTGTCTCAGCTATTATAGAGATGTGTCTCTGCTATTATAGAGATGTGTCTCAGCTATTATAGAGATGTGTCTCTGCTATTATAGAGATGTATCTGCTATTATAGAGATGTGTCTCAGCTATTATAGAGATGTGTCTCTGCTATTATAGAGATGTATCTCTGCTATTATAGAGATGTGTCTCTGCTATTATAGAAATATCTCTGCTATTATAGAAATATATCTCTGCTATTATAGAGATCTGTCTGCTATTATAGAGATGTGTCTCAGCTATTATAGAGATGTGTCTCTGCTATTATAGAGATGTGTCTCAGCTATTATAGAGATGTGTCTCTGCTATTATAGAGATGTGTCTCTGCTATTATAGAGATGTATCTCTGCTATTATAGAGATGTGTCTCTGCTATTATAGAGATGTATCTCTGGTATTATAGAGATGTATCTCTGCTATTATAGAAATATATCTCTGCTATTATTGAGATCTGTCTCAGCTATTATAGAGATGTATCTCTGCTATTACAGAGATGTATCTCTGCTATTATAGAGATATATCTCTGCTATTATAGAAATATATCTCTGCTATTATAGAGATCTGTCTCAGCTATTATAGAGATGTGTCTCAGCTATTATAGAGATGTATTTCTGCTATTATAGAGATGTGTCTCTGCTATTATAGAAATATATCTCTGCTATTATAGAAATGTCTCAGCTATTATAGAGATGTGTCTCAGCTATTATAGAGATGTGTCTCTGCTATTATAGAGATGTGTCTCTGCTATTATAGAGATGTGTCTCAGCTATTATAGAGATCTGTCTCAGCTATTATAGAGATGTGTCTCTGCTATTATAGAGATGTGTCTCTGCTATTATAGAGATGTGTCTCTGCTATTATAGAGATGTGTCTCTGCTATTATAGAGATGTGTCTCTGCTATTATAGAGATGTGTCTCTGCTATTATAGAAATGTCTCAGCTATTATAGAGATGTGTCTCTGCTATTATAGAGATGTGTCTCTGCTATTATAGAGATTGCTATTATAGAGATGTGTCTCTGCTATTATAGAGATGTGTCTCTGCTATTATAGAGATGTGTCTCTGCCATTATAGAGATGTATCTCTGCTATTATAGAGATGTATCTCTGCTATTATAGAGATGTCTCTGCTATTATAGAAAAGTCTATATAATATATAAGTTTCACCTTTTAAGTTGAATTACTGAAATAAATGAACTTTTGCACGATATTATAATTTTTCAAATTTCACCTGTATTTACATGGGGCAACTGGTCCAATTCAGATTTCAGATCACCCCTAATAATCCTTCTCTGGTTCCTCTTTCTCCCCGCAGCGCTGGTGGCGTGAGTGTCTGACTCGCGCAGACGAGTGTGTGTGTGAGCCGGAGCTCCAGCAGAGGGCAGCGGTGTGTGTTCAGGCGTTCTGGAGAGGCTTCAGAGACAGACGTCAGTACCGGCAGCAGAAGAGAGCGGTTCTGCTCATCCAGAGACGCTGGAGACGAGTCCTTCAGACGCGCGCGAGAGAGAGAGCGGCAGGCCTCATACAGGCCGTCTGGAGGACACACACACTCAGACACACACACACACTGAGACACAGGGCCGCCGTCACGCTTCAGGCCGCCTGCAGGGGGCGCCAGGCTCGACAGTGGTAACTACACTTACATTTGTGCATTCGCCAGATGTTTTTATCCAAAGCCACTTGCATTGCAATCAAGGTGAAGATTTGTAATCATGAGTTCCCTGGGAATCAAACCCATGACCTTGAGCTATAGGTTATATATATACAGTATATATACACTCACCGGCCACTTTATTAGGTACCCCATGCTAGTAACGGGTTGGACCCCCTTTTGCCTTCAGAACTGCCTCAATTCTTCGTGGCATAGATTCAACAAGGTGCTGGAAGCATTCCTCAGGGAGTTTGGTCCATATTGACATGATGGCATCACACAGTTGCCGCAGATTTGTCGGCTGCACATCCATGATGCGAATCTCCCGTTCCACCACATCCCAAAGATGCTCTATTGGGTTGAGATCTGGTGACTGTGGAGGCCATTTTAGTACAGTGAACTCATTGTCATGTTCAAGAAACCAATTTGAAATGATTAGAGCTTTGTGACATGGTGGAAGTAGCCATCAGAGGATGGGTACATGGTGGCCATAAAGGGATGGACATGGTCAGAAACAATGCTCAGGTAGGCCGTGGCATTTAAACGATGCCCAATTGGCACTAAGGGGCCTAAAGTGTGCCAGGAAAACATCCCCCACACCATTACACCACCACCACCAGCCTGCACAGTGGTAACAAGGCATGATGGTTCCATGTTCTCATTCTGTTTACGCCAAATTCTGACTCTAACATCTGAATGTCTCAACAGAAATCGAGACTCATCAGACCAGGCAACATTTTTCCAGTCTTCAACTGTTCAATTTTGGTGAGCTCTTGCAAATTGTAGCCTCTTTTTCCTATTTGTAGTGGAGATGAGTGGTACCCGGTGGAGTCTTCTGCTGTTGTAGCCCATCCGCCTCAAGGTTGTGCGTGTTGTGGCTTCACAAATGCTTTGCTGCATACCTCGGTTGTAACGAGTGGTTATTTCAGTCACTGTTGCCTTTCTATCAGCTCGAACCAGTCTGGCCATTCTCCTCTGACCTCTGGCATCAACAAGGCATTTCCGCCCACAGAACTGCCGCTCACTGGATGTTTTTTCTTTTTCGGACCATTCTCTGTAAACCCTAGAGATGGTTGTGCGTGAAAATCCCAGTAGATTAGCAGTTTCTGAAATACTCAGACCAGCCCTTCTGGCACCAACAATCATGCCACGTTCAAAGTCACTCAAATCAACTTTCTTCCCCATACTGATGCTCGGTTTGAACTGCAGGAGATTGTCTTGACCATGTCTACATGCCTAAATGCACTGAGTTGCCGCCATGTGATTGGCTGCTTAGAAATTAAGTGTTAACGAGCAGTTGGACAGGTGTACCTAATAAAGTGGCCGGTGAGTGTATATATATATATCGTAGGTATAGGATGAGGTGAAGAGGCATTTATTATATATAATACAAGAAGATATTTTGTCTGTAGCTTGATCTCTAGTTATAACATGTTGCTCAGGTTGGCCCCGCCCACAGTGGAATCTCATTGGTCCAAAATCCCTCTTAACTAATTTTAAACATCAGATGTGTTCTGATTGGCTGTGCCTTTGCATTCTCTAATTTGATTGGACCGGTGATGTTCCGTTTGTTCACTGATCTGGCTTCTATTGGAACTATTTTTGTTGTCGAAGCAAAAATAAACATAATAGTTGACATTAGGGATGCTCGATATATCGGCCACCGTATCGGTATCGGCCGATATATGTTAATTTTTAACGTTGTTATCGGCCTGATAAGAAGATTTGGCCAATATAATAAAGCCGATAAATAGTGGATTATGTCCTTCAGCTGAGACGCTTCAGATGCGCACTGTTCAACATGATGGTTTTGAATTGCTTGAAATATGCAACGTGCAGCACAAGTCTGTCAGATCGGCTGCATAAAATTATGAGAATATTATAATTGTGTTTGGGACGTGGCTTTTAATGATGGGACTTTTGTTTTAGTAATCAGGCTCTCAAACATTATATAAAAATTTGGATTTAGATTTATCGGCCGATATATCGGTTATCAGCTTTCAAATATAAAGTGTTATCGGTATTAGCCAAAATGTTCATATCGGTGCATCCCTAGTTGACATCGTGTCTGAAATATCTCAATATTTAGTAGTATTGAACATTGTTTTTTTCCCCCAAGGTGCCGCATTCTGAGAGATCAACGATGCGGAGAGAAAACCATCGATGGCGGAGAGCATCTAAACACTGTGACTAAAAGTTTACACGCCCCTCAAAACTCAAGCGTAGAGCCGTCCGAGAAGCTCGAGGAAAAGCAATCCGCCGAACCTCCTCGAGCGGTCGACGACAGCACGCTAAAGAGCCGATCCAAGCGGGAAAGCAGGAGGCAACGGGAACTCGAACAGGCCACGTTCAGTTTAGAGCTTCTCAAAGTCCGATCCGGTTCAGTGTCGAACTCAGAACCGGACTCCTCCGCTCAAATCCCTCTCTCCAAACAGCTTCCTTCGTCTCCTCAGGCCTCCACGGATAGCCAGGAAAGCTTTGAGGAGTTGGCCCAAGTTTCGACCCTTCAAATGAGCGAAAATAACGCGACTAAAGAGAGAGAGAGAGAGTTGGAGCAAGTTTCCAAACCCGAGCCGATGGAGGAGAACCAAACCAGCCCGGCGTCCTTCAAACCTCACTTCTACATCGCTGATGAGGACGGCAGTCCGGTTAAGAGTTCGCCGACCCGCTCGGAGAAGAAGGAGTCAGTGCTGGTCATCATCAGCATGCAGAAGGAGAGCCCTGTAGACCTGGACGCTCATCATGACCATCAGATGGAAGCGGAGGACCAACAGCTGGAGCTTCTGCTCTGCAATGATCATCCCGGCGGCCATTCGACCCCTGAACCTCAAAGCAATCACGGCTTGGACACTTCGGCCTCCTCTAAAACCCTCCAGCTGGACTTGAGGGAAGCAGCGTCCACGAAGAAGGACGTCCAGAAGAAGCTTGTGTCTCAAAGCATCAGCATAAGTATGAAGGAGAAAGCTGATCTGGCCTTCTCTCCCAAGCGCAGTCGTCTGACCTTCTCCAAGTGAGTTTACGAGCACTCAGACGTAACCCGCATTCTTCCCTCGGGTCGTTTAAAAAAAAATTGCTCACACTGCAAAAAAATGCTGTTCTTACTCAGTATTTTTGTCTTGTTTCCAGTACAAATATCTACAAAATAAAGTAGTAAAATGCCATGTTATGTCTTGAGATTTTGCTTAATAAAATCTGCCAATGGGGTAAGAAAAAGAGTCTTGTTTCCGTTTGAATTAACCCCATTGGCAGATAATTTTTTGTTTTAATCAAAAACTCACTTCATTTAAATTTTTTCCCCCCATAAAACAAGACTTAATTTCTTATGTCACTTTACTCATCTAGTAAATGCATCTTGATTTAAGAATTTTTAGATATTTGGACTGGAAATAACAAGAAACCAGAGTAAGAAAAGCATTTTTTGCAGTGCATCAGAGGGGTCCAAGACACTAGGACTTTTGTCGCACTTGAACCATGAACACACACACACACACACACAAAAGTAAAGGATTCGAGGAGTTTTGTGGTTGAAATTTTAAAAAGTAACAAATCCTTCCCTCTCGGGTCAATTTGACCCCCTTAGGAATGCTTCAGTACACATAGAAAAACCTAAAAATGCTAAAACTTTACCAAAAATATTTTGGTATTTAGACATAATAAATATGTCTACGTGTGTATCTGAATGCACACTGAAGAGAAACTGGCTTTAGGACCCAGCGGAACAGCTCATCTGCTCCATATAGAGCTAAAAGCCCATCTAGAGTCATAAAATATCATCTTATATTATTATTTTTCACAAGATGTTGGCAAAGACTCCCAATGTAAGATATTTTGAGCTGAATTAAGTTTCCTTATTTTGTTGTGTAGTTGAAAAGTTATTTTGAATTTAAGTTGAAAGAATGTGAGGAATGTGCTTAAATTACTATTTATTATTTATTGATGTAATGTAGTAATGTAAAGGTAAATAAAATAAAAAATATCAAAAAAATGTGCATTAAAATTTAGAAAAAATATGATCAAAATGAAATAAAATAAGCTTTTTGGACAAAAACAAAATTAAGCATAATTTTAGGGCTTCGGGTCATTTTGACCCGCGAGGGAAGGATGAGGGCTAAGATATTTTGAGAAGTTTTTAGCTGATGTTTAGCATCTAATGCGATGACGGTTTTAGATGTACTCAAACGGGACAGACTGTGGTCGGCGTGAACGAGGATTGCTGTGTGTTTTTCAGGTCGGACAAAGACCTGGTGAATCAGGAGCGATCCCTGGCGATCCAAAGAGAAGCGGGATTCAGATCGCTGAAACACCGAGAGGTGAGCGCAGGCAAAACAGACAAACTTCTGTTTAGATGTAGTGTTGTTGAGATGTCTCTCTTAGGTCCAGGATGAGTTCTGACTCGTTCCTTTTTTCTTTTATGATGTATCAAACAATAAGCAGACATAAGGGACAGAACAGGAATGAAATTACATCAAATATATTTCATCAGTTTCACAAACAAAATAAGAAAAAGAGAGAGAAAAAAACATGATAAACACATAAAGAGGAAACATTATGCATCACTGGCATTACCAAAAAAATCATCATGATATTTCACGAATCTGTCACTTTTCTTGTTTTTAATCAAACTGAGAGATTTGAGAAATGCATCAATTTCAATAAAGAAATGTGGCAAATTAGAGGCTGTGAGTTAGAGAATTTTTTACGTAACAATGTAATTCATTGAAGTATTAGCTGTACCTTTATAGTAACAGATTATATCTTTTAACTGAAAGGATTTGGAAGAATTAAGGTGCTTACCTATATGAACATATAAACTCTTCCTAAAGTTTTGAGTTTTTTCACACTGGAAAAGTAAATGGATCAGCGTTTCATCCTTATTCCCACAAAATGAGCAAGAACGGTCAACATCCATATATTTTGCCACAGTATCATTCACAGGACACTGCAAAAATGCTTTTCTAAATCTATTTTTGTCTTGTTTCCAGTCCAAATATCTAAAAATTCTCAAATCATGATGCATTTACTAGATGAGTAAAGTGACATAAGATATTATGTCTTGTTTTCTGGGGAAATAAATTAAAATGAAGTGAGTTGCATCAAATGGTTACATATATGATTGAAATTGTACATGGTCCCTAATAAAAAAAAAAAAGTAAAAAAAAAAGTGAGTTATTGCTTAAAAAAAGCTAAATTATCTGCCAATGGGGTCAGAAAAATAATCTTAATTCAAACAGAAACAATATTAATTTTTTGACCCCATAGGCAGATCATTTTGCTTTTTTTAAGCAACAACTCACTTCATTTTGATTTATTTCCCCAGAAAACGAGACACAATATCTTTTACTACTTCTTTTTACTACTTTAGTAAATATTTTACTACTTTAGCATCTTGATTTAAGAATTTTTAGATATTTGGACTGGAAACAAGACAAAAATACTAAGAAAGAAAAGCATTTTTTGCAGTGGATATACAGGTGAAACTCGAAAAATGAGAATATGGTGCAAAAGTTCATTTATTTCAGTAATTCAACTTAAAAGATTAAACTAATATATTATATAGACTCATTACATGCAAAGTGAGATATTTCAAGCCTTTATTTGTTATAATTGTGATGATTATGGCTTACAGATATGAAAACCTTTTCACAATATTCTAATTTTGAATTTGGGGTTTTCATAAGCTGTATAATCATCACAATTATAACAAATAAAGGCTTGAAATATCTCACTTTGCATGTAATGAGTCTATATAATATATTAGTTTCACCTTTTGCAGGATATCCTCATTTCTCGAGTTCAGCTGTAGTGTAGTGTGGACTCTCTCCTGAGAGTGTCTGTCAGTTGGTTTGACGTCATCAATGTGAACGATCAGGTTGTAGGAGCCGGCCGTAAAAAGAAAGCGCGTATGGCCGGGACTCGCTCTGATTTCTTGAGCCGGGCCTGTAGCACCGAGCTCGATTCTGACGAAGATGAAGATGATGAACACGAGGACACACCCGTGCTCTCCCGAACCGGGCCTCTCCCAGAATCCCCCAGTTCTCCTGACTCCGAGCCGGCCTGCCACAGCGACTCCGACATGGTAAAACCCAGAGCGGATGTGGAGCTTTGCACACTGATCCAACCACATTCTCTAGCCCAAGGAATAGTTTCACCAGAACTTTTAATACTGGTATTAAATCGCCTTCATGTCGTTCCCAAACCCATACGACTCCTATTCTGATCAAATTAATAGTTCATAAAATAAATGTTAACAAATAAAAATGTTTTCGCAAATGTAGTGTCGCAGTTCTCCTACAACTGGTTTACACTACCAGTCAAAAGTTTTAATTCGGTAAGATTTTTAATGTTTTTAAAAGAAGTCTCTTCTGATCACTAAGGCTGCATTTATTTGATTAAAAATACCAACAAAAACAGTAATATTGTTAAATATTTTTACAATTTAAAACAGCTGTTTTCTATGTGAATATATAGTAAAGTGTAATTTATTCCTGTGATCAAAGCTGAATTTTCAGCATCATTACTCCAGTCTTCTTACAAATCATTCTAATATGATGATTCGCTGCTCAAAAAACATTAATTATTATTAGCAATCTACATTGCAGCATCAGCTCTTTTCTCAGTGTCTGAAACGGTTCGTCTCTCTAAGCCCCTCCTTTCCGAGAGCCTGCTCTGCTCTGATTGGTCAGATGGCTCAGTTCGTTCTGATTGGTCGACCGCTTAACAGTGCGTGTCGGAAACCAAACGGCCATTAGCGTATCTGAACCGTGTTTGAGGGCGGGGCAAAGTTGACAGTGTTTGCAGGCAGCCAATGAAAACCATAGGACGGCATTATGCAAATTCGTAACTTCCTAGATTTACCAACGACTCGTTTCAGGCAGTATCGCCTCTTTCTTTAAGCAGACAATAACTCACTTTGATCTTTGAAACAAACTCATTCAAAATGTTAATAAAAATGTCAATAATGTCTCAATGATCCTAAAATAACACTGATGGGAGAAGGAAAGGCAAAGGGTTCAGAACGACATGGTGGTCAGTAAATGTTGACGAATTTAATGTTTGTTCAGTGTGCAAAACCGCTAACTGGCCTCAACCGCTGATCTCTGTCATAACCAAATCTCTAGACAGAACTAATCAAATGAAAGACTAATAAACCTGACTGGGTGAGCCTAGGTTAACCAGAATATTAAGACTTGTCTGGTCTTAAACGTGAGGCTGGATCTCTCGTGGGATTTTCTGTTCACTTCTGACAACGTTTTATTGATGAATATCAAGTTTGTAAGTTAAGATGCATGCGACTCCCATTAACATGGAAAGGGTGGGGTTTCTCCATTACTCACCCTTATCTGAAACACTTTCTCTCATTCTTTCCCTCATGTGAGTCGGGTTTGGTGTCCTTACACGGTTTAGTGGTTTAAGTGAAACACTCATCAGCCTCAAACAAAAGCAGAACCTTGTTCCTGGAGATCGGATAACTACGGAAGGGGATTAGGGCCAAGCCATAATGAAAACATCTCGAGATTTAAAGTCATTATAATGCCATATTAAACTAGTTCAGTTTCGAGAAAAAAAGTCGAAATACAACGTTGAGAATAAATTCATTAAATTTCGAGAATAAAGTTGTTGCGGTTCGAGAAATAGCTTGTTGAATTTTGAGAAAAAAAGTCGAAATACAATTTTGAGAAAAAACTCATTAAATTTCGAGAATTAAGATCATTTTTAGATCAATTTGAGATCATTTATAGGCTACTTTGATTATTTAACATCTGCGTTTCAGTCATCCATCGACACCCGAGAGAAGCGAGTGACTGTATAAAATACAGCTTGACTAAGTGATCCAACTCTGTCATGTAAGCAATGAACACTGATCCAATGCCTTCATTTCCACATTTTATTTCAAATTTTTTTCTCAAAACGCAACGACTTTATTCTCAAAATGTAATGAGTTTATTCTCAACATTTTATTTAGACTGTTTTCTTGGAATTTAATGCATTTTTTTCTCGAAACACAACGACTTTATTCTCAAAATGTAATAAGTTTCTTCTCAACAATTTATTTCGACTTTTTTCTCAAAATTAAAAAAGAAAATCTTGAAACAACGACTTTATTCTCAAAATTTTATGTTTATTCTCAACATTTTATTTCGACTTTTTTCTCGAAATTTAATGATTTTTTTTCTCGAAACACAACGACTTTATTCTTACAATTTAATGAGTTTATTCTCAACATTTTATTTAGACTTTTCTCGAAACAACGACTTTATTCTCAAAATTTAATGACTTTATTCTCAACATTTCATTTCGACTTTTTTTCTCGAAATTTAAAAAAAAATTCTTGAAACAATGACTTCATTCTCAAAATTTAACAAGTTTATTCTCAACATTTTATTTAGACTTTTTTTCTCAATTCAATTAATATTTTTCCCGAAACAACGACTTAGTTCTTACAATTTAATGAGTTTATGCTCAACATTTTATTTAGACTTTTTTCTCGAAATTTAATGATTTTTTTTCTCAAAACACAACGACTTTATTCTTACAATTTAATGAGTTTATTCTCAACAATTTATTTTGACTTTTTTCTCAAAATTTAATGAGTTTATTATCTACATTTTATTTTGACTTTTTTTCTCGAAACAACGACTTTATTCTCAAAATTTAATGAGTTTATTCTCAACATTTTATTTAGACCTTTTCTCGAAACAACGACTTTATTCTCAAAATTTAATGAGTTTATTCTCAACATTTCATTTCGACTTTTTTTCTCGAAATTCAATAATTTTTTTTCTCGAAACAACAACTTTATTCTTACAATTTAATGAGTTTATTATCTACATTTTATTTAGACTTTTTTTCTCGAAACAACGACTTTATTCTCAAAATTGAATGAGTTTATTCTCAACATTTCATTTCGACTTTTTTTCTCGAAACAACGACTTTATATTTAAAATTTAATGAGTTTATTCTCAACATTTCATTTCGACTTTTTTTCTCGAAATTTACAAAAAAATTCTTGAAACAATGACTTCATTCTCAAAATTTAACAAGTTTATTCTCAACATTTTATTTAGACTTTTTTTCTCGAAATTCAATTAATATTTTTCTCGAAACAACGACTTAGTTCTTACAATTTAGTGAGTTTATGCTCAACATTTTATTTAGACTTTTTTCTCGAAATTTAATGATTTTTTTTCTCAAAACACAACGACTTTATTCTTACAATTTAATGAGTTTATTCTCAACATTTTATTTTGACTTTTTTTCTCGAAACCGACTTTATTCTCAAAATTTAATATGTTTATTCTCAACAATTTATTTTGACTTTTTTCTCAAAATTTAATGAGTTTATTCTCAACATTTTATTTAGACTTTTTTCTCGAAATTTAATGATTTTTTTTCTCTAAACAACGACTTTATTACAATTTAATGAGTTTATTCTCAACATTTTATTTAGACTTTTTTCTCGAAATTCAATTAATTTTTTTCTCGAAATGTAATAATTCTTTTTCTCAAAACACAACGAGTTTATTCCTCAAAGTATACGTTTATTCCTCAAAGTATACGTTTATTCTCAATGTTTTATTACGTCACAAAATTTTACAAGTTTAATCTCGCATAATAATGACTTTAATCTCGAGATGGTTTTATTTTTCTATTATTGCTTGGCCCTAATCCTCTTCCGTAGATCACCCATTCAGTCTGGTTCGAAGAAGCATTTATGTACGATTCTGATTCTGCATTGGCTTTCCGTCTCCAGTCGTCTCAGAAAGAGCAGAAGAGGATCCAGAAGACCATGTCCTCGGGGGACCTTGGGAAAATGGATTCGCTCCGGAAGTCCATGTCTCACACAGATAGCAGGTCAGAGGAGGTTCATTAACCAAAACTGTGACCAAAAGTGTTCAATGACGACCTTTTCTTCACCATGAATGAGGCGAGATCATGACGAGACAACGTCATTAAATATATTTAATTATGAAATCATGCAATAAGTAAAATGTAGTTTTCCTTGCATAAACTATGTTTTTCGGGTTTTCAGGTAGATCTTACAGTAGTTAGATACAGATTAGGTACAGAAATGTAATAAAGTAATCAATTGTAAAATAACACTGCATAGTCTTCACTGTATAAAACTAAATATAGATGAATCCTTATTAAAGTTACAAAAGTTATTCAGTCAAAAACATTAAATGTTTTTTTTTGCAGTGAGTCTGCTGTGATTAACATTAAACCTGTAGTCAATCATTTTATCCCATAAAACTCATCTTTGAGTTTTTAGTTACATATTTAAAAGTTTTTTCCTTGAAATAAATTCTTCATGCCTTAAAATATCTTGAATGTAACTCGACACCCTTGCCTCATTTAGTATTTGTGGTTCTATGAATATGCAAATGAGCCCCGCCTCCATTCACTCCTTCAGCTCAGAGATCCACTTGTTGACGATCACACGTTGATCTGATTGGTTACAAGGTCGTTTGTGATGTCAGAAACAAAGTTCATAATACTAGTATAGTATTAGTAGAGTATTAGTAGAGTATTAGTAGGGTATTAGTAGAGTATTAGTAGGGTATTAGTAGGGTGTTAGTAGAGTATTAGTAGGGTATTAGTAGAGTATTAGTAGGGTATTGGTAGAGTATTAGTAGGGTATTAGTAGGGTATTAGTAGAGTATTAGTAGGGTATTAGTAGAGTATTAGTAGAGTATTAGTAGGGTATTAGAAGAGTATTAGTAGGGTATTAGTAGGGTATTAGTAGTGTATTAGTAGAGTATTAGTAGGGTATTAGTAGTGTATTAGTAGAGTTAGTAGGGTATTAGTAGAGTATTAGTCGGGTACTAGTAGAGTATTAGTAGGGTACTAGTAGGGTATTAGTAGGGTGTTAGTAGAGTATTAGTAGGGTACTAGTAGGGTATTAGCTGAGTTTTATTAGGGTACTAGTAGGGTATTAGTAGGGTATTAGTAGAGTATTAGTAGGGTACTAGTAGGGTATTAGTAGGGTATTAGTAGAGTATTAGTAGGGTATTAGTAGAGTATTAGTAGGGTATTAGTAGGGTATTAGTAGTGTATTAGTAGAGTTAGTAGGGTATTAGTAGAGTATTAGTCGGGTACTAGTAGAGTATTAGTAGGGTACTAGTAGGGTATTAGTAGGGTGTTAGTAGAGTATTAGTAGGGTACTAGTAGGGTATTAGCTGAGTTTTATTAGGGTACTAGTAGGGTATTAGTAGGGTATTAGTAGAGTATTAGTAGGGTACTAGTAGGGTATTAGTAGGGTATTAGTAGAGTATTAGTAGGGTATTAGTAGAGTATTAGTAGGGTATTAGTAGGGTATTAGTAGAGTATTAGTAGGGTATTAGTAGGGTGTTAGTAGAGTATTAGTAGGGTGTTAGTAGAGTATTAGTAGGGTATTAGTAGGGTGTTAGTAGAGTATTAGTAGGGTGTTAGTAGAGTATTAGTAGGGTGTTAGTAGAGTATTAGTAGGGTATTAGTAGGGTATTAGTAGAGTATTAGTAGGGTATTAGTAGTGTATTAGTAGAGTATTAGTAGGGTATTAGTAGAGTATTAGTAGAGTATTAGTCGGGTACTAGTAGAGTATTAGTAGGGTACTAGTAGGGTATTAGTAGGGTATTAGTAGAGTATTAGTAGGGTACTAGTAGGGTATTAGTAGAGTACTAGTAGAGTATTAGTAGGGTATTAGTAGAGTACTAGTAGAGTACTAGTAGAGTATTAGTAGGGTATTAGTAGGATATTAGTAGGGTATTAGTAGAGTACTAGTAGGGTATTAGTAGACTGGTAGGGTTAGGATTAGAATAAGCTGACATGTAGTTGCAAAGTTACTTATAATCAACAGAATGTTTAAAACGGACCATCAAAATAAAGTGTAACCATAAATACTTTCAATTAACTGTTTATTTTCATGAATTCATGTTTCTGTGCATTAAAATGTGATGTTTAATCCAAACTCTGTTCTCCGTAGGGTCAGAGGCAAAATGCGCTTCTGGAGTAAGAGCAAGCATGCAGATAAGAAGATGTCCAGCAGGGGGCGCTCCGCCGACTCCGAGCTCAACGACACGAGGAACGGTGTGTGTTTACACTAACGCTGAACCTGATCCTTCCACAAGTCAAGTCTCCTTCATCTATACAGCGCTTTAACCAATATAGAGTTTCACAGCAGCTTTACAGTGATAACAGGAGATTACAGTAACAGAGATTGTTTAGGCGTTACAGCAGATCTAGAATAAAGTTATTGTCCAGATAAAGTTAGCTTTGATTGATTCACTTCCGTCGCAAAGATCATTAGTTATTAACTTAGCGGGCGCTAACACGACACTGTTCTAACTGAAGACAGAAAGCTTTAATGTGTTCTGGCTGTTCATTTACACAACAGTGTTTGAGCTCGAGAACACAAACCGTGAAACTGGATCCAAGGTGCAAGTGTTGAATAATTTTGTAAAACGTGATCATCTCCGTGGAAACCTCAAAAACGTGAATCTGTGAGACGCTGACGGCGTGCACATGCGGATCACGTGTTTAGTCTATAGATATGCACGTTTGAATATATATATATAATATAATAATATTTGTGTGCGCAGGCGTGTAGTCTTTCTTTACTTTTCTAATTGAAAAAAAAAATCTTGTTTTCCATTTGAATTTAGATTTTTTTTTCTGACCCTATCGGCAGATACTTTAGCTTGTTTTAAGCAAAAACTCACTTAATTTGATCAGAAAACAAGATAGAATTTCTTGTAATTTTACTCATCTAGTAAATGCTTCATGACTTAAAGCAACACTAAGTAAGATTTTTTACCTTTAAATAATCCCGTTTCAGCGGTTCATTAAGTCGTGACAGGGTGAAAGGCACTCATGCATCCCTGTATCTGCTATAACCACGCTGTGTAAGATTGCCAGATCGGGTCGCGTTTCTGTAGTTCTAATGAGACATAAGAAAACTACAAATCTGACTTGCTTTACGTCAAGCGTTACAATAGTCATTATTTAGTTTTTCTTCGTTTCTGATGTCGCAGTACATCATACTTTCATGAAATCATGCAACATACTCTAGCTTGTCTGTGGACATCGTTCATTCCCGAGCCGGCGCTGGATAAACACGAGCGAGCGTGCGACAGTCGGCTACGCTAGGCTAAAGTATATAAAACAGCGGTAATGGGCAATTCTGCTTCCAACCTGTAGGGCGACCGCAGAGGAAAAGTTACTTGGTGTTGCTTTAATGATTTTTGGGATATTTGGACTGGAAACAAGACACAAATACTGAGTAAGAACAGCATTATTTTGCAGTGGCACTTCAGGACTGTGTTTCTAACACGCTCTCTCTCTCTCCCAGACTCCCCTGCTGGAAGCCCAGTGCATGCTGGTCTATCTGAGCGCGGACGGGACAGCAAGGAGAACCGCGAGCCGATGCTGGGAATGATGTCGATGAAGAGGAGGCGCAGTGTGAAGATCAGCAGTGTGTCTCTCGAAGCCTCGGCTTGGCAGAACGACTCGCTGCACATCCTCACCAGCACCGCGGACTACCGCAGCATGAACGACTTCCTCATGAAGAAGGTGTGCACTTTATTTCTGACAATTCATATAAACATTACGCTAGAATGTTCAAGATGCATTTACTAGAGAAGAGCAGTGCTTTGAGATATTAGGTCTTTTGTTTGAAGGGAGTTTTTGCTTAAAACATGCAAAATGATCTGCCAATGGGGTCAGAAAAATAATATTGTTTCCATTTTAATTAATTTTCTGACCCCATTGGCAGATCATTTTTCTTGTTTTAACCAAAAACTCACTTCATTTAGATTTTTTCCCCCAAGAAAACAAGACATAAAACCAAAACATAATATCTTATAGCATTTTACTTATGTAGTAAATGCATCTTGATTTGTAAATATTTGGACTGGAAACTAGACAAAAATACTGAGTAAGAAAAGCATTTTTTGCAGTGCAATATATTTTTGTTAATTTTTCGTTAAACCATTATTATACGCTTTTTATATGACAATATAAAAACAATTTAGTGTCACTATTATTTAGATCAGTTTTACTACACTGCAAAAAATGCTTTTCTTACTCAGTCTTGTTTCCAGTCAAAATATCAAAAAATTCTTAAATCAAGATGCATTTACTAAAGTAGTAAAATGCTATAAGATATTATGTCTTGTTTTATGGGGGAAAAATATCAAAATGAAGTGAGTTTTTGCTTAAAACATGAAAAATTATCTGCCAATGGGGTCAGAAAAATAAACTTAATTCAAACAAAAACAAGTTTTATTACAAAACCAGACGTAATATCTTATGGCATTTTACTACTTTAGTAAATGCATCTTGATTTAAGCATCCTTTTTTCTTTTTTTTTGTTGATATTTGGACTTGAAACAAGACAAAAATAATTTTTGCAGTGTTAATAATTTCTGTTAATTGTTTGTAAAACCATTCTTGTGTAAAAACCGTCGCATTCAGTTTACATATGATTGGTTTTATGTGAAAATTTACGAAATAACAGTTTTATATAATAATTTAATTGTGTATGATTGTATCGAAGTGTCACCATATAATTTAAGAGTAATTCTCAATTTACGGAGAAATTACTGTGTTTAATGAACGCAGAATTCTGCAGAACGGATCACAACCCAAAATGTAATTAAAAAGCTTAAAACGTCATAATATTAGCCAAAAGTCCCCCTGTAGTCACTTTGATCACTAAAGTTACATATTTAAAAGTTTTTTCCTTGGAAAAAAATTCTTCATGCCTTAAAATATCTTGAATGTAACTCGACACCCTTGCCTTATTGAGTATGCGTGGTTCTATGAATATGCAAATGAGCCCCGCCTCCACTCACTCCCTCAGCTCAGAGATCCACTGGTTGACGATCACACGTTGATCTGATTGGTTACAAGGTCGTTTGTGATGTCAGAAACACCAGCGATTTCAAACCGTGTTTTTGAGACTGTCTTTGGTTCACTGCAGTTTTAAGCAGAAAACACTCAGCAATGCTGTCGACTTATGAACTTACACATGGTTTGCATATTAAAAACACCACATAGACACATAAACAACATTAAACGCTGGATCTCCTCCACCGGGGGACTTTGACTGTGTGTTCTGTGATGTTTGTTACTGTAGATCGGAGATCTGGAAGCAGAGGACGGTCAGAAGGATTCGCCTGTGGACGTCGTGTTCAAGAAAGCCCTGAAAGAGTTTCGCCTCAACATCTTCAACTCGTACTCGACTGCTCTCGCGGTGAGCTTCTGGAAGCCCCAAAACTAGGGGTGTCGCAATACAATAATGCAACAATATATATCGTGGATGGTGACTATGTATTGTGTATAGTTCACCCAAAGTGTGTGAGAAAAAATTCAAGTTTTCAGAGTTTTGGTGTCAGTTCTACATTAAACTGCTATATATAATGTTGAATATAATGTATAATAATGCAATGGGGGAATATGTGTGTGTGCTGATAATGCCAGATGTCTGATGTTACCAGTAAAAGTGGCCGACATTATTATAAATATATCTAGTCAGTGACAGAGATCAAATATTCATCTACAATAATTCAGTTTTCAGCTTCAGAATCATGAATATTGTTATTCTGGTGTCTCTATTGTCCTGTGCTTTGGGTTTCAGCACTGAGTCCAACACTATTCATTTACACACACAATGTAATATCAAATTTAGCATTTTAATCAACAATGCATTTCTTGTTAATCTTTTATCATATGTCTTGAGTATCGCAGTAATATCATATCGTGAGTTCAGTATCGTGAGATACAGTGGTGTGAATAAGTTATTACCCCCATGCTAAAGTTGCCAAAAAAAAGAGGAATAAAAAATCATCTTTTGGAAATTGATCTTAATGCCTTAATTAGAAAAATGAGGAAAAATCCAACCTTTAAGGACACCAATTTTCTTTGTGTATGAATAATGTATCATAAATAAATGAATGTTCTTCCTTAAAATACAGGGTGCATAAGTCAGGCCCCCCCTATGTTAAATTCCCATAGAGTCAGGCAGATTTTTATTTTTAAAGGCCAGTTATTTCATGGATCCAGGATAATATGCATCCTGATAAAGTTCCCTTGGCCTTTGGAATTAAAATATCCCACATCATCACATTCCCTTCACCATACCTAGAGATTGGCATGGGGTACTTTCCATAAGATCATCTTTCAATGCAAATCAAACCAGCTATTAGGCTAACTGAAATAACACCATGCCAATCTCTAGGTATGGTGAAGGGAATGTGATGATGTGGGATATTTTAATTCCAAAGGCCAAGGGAACTTTATCAGGATGCATATTATCCTGGATCCATGAAATAACTGGCCTTTAAAAAAAAAATCTGCCTGACTCTATGGGAATTTAACATAGCCTGACTTATGCACCCTGTATTTTAAGGAAGAACATTTATTTATTTATGATACATTATTCATACACAAAGAAAATTGGTGTCCTTAAAGGTTGGATTTTTCCTCATTTTTCTAATTAAGGCATTAAGATCAATTTCCAAAAGATGATTTTTTTATTCCTCTTTTTAGGCAACTTTAGCATGGGGGTAATAACTTATTCACACCACTGCATATCGTTACACCACTAATGAAAACTTTGATAACACTTTATTTTACAGTGTCCTTGTTACATGTACTTGGCATTTTAAAATACGCAACTTAAACAATTATTATAACAAGTATTTTATTTAAGCTTAGCCACTTTAATTTTTTTTTTTAGCTCTATATGTCTGTTTGGTTTTATTGTCTGTTTTTTCCTTTTGTTTGTTTGTTTCTCCTTGTCTGGGACTAAGGATGGAAATTAGCACTGTGCTAAATCCGGCGTATTTACATCAATATGCAATTTATGCACTGTCCCATCTAAATAAATGAAAAAAAAAATTTACTTACCATAGTAATAACAGTAGATTATACATAATTACATGCAACTAACCCTCAACCAAACCCTAACCCTATAGTAAATACATGTAGTTCCTTAATATTACTCAGTACTTAAATATATAATTACACTGTAACAATGACACTTTAAAATAAAGTGTAACCCACGTGTGTGTGTGTGTGTGTGTTCCTCAGATGGACGATGGCAGGAGCATCCGCTATAAAGATCTCCACGCTTTATTCGAGCACATCTTGGAGAAGAGCATGCGTCTGGAGCAGCGAGACTGGAGCGAGTCTCCTGTCAAAGTCTGGGTCAACACCTTCAAAGTCTTCCTCGACGAGTTCATGACCGAACACAAGCCGATGGACGGAGCCGTTAGCAAGGTACACCCGATCTGTGTGTTCACGGCTAGCAGCTAACGGCTAACGCTCTTCTGATCATCTGTGTGTGGTGTTTCCAGGCTCCTAAACCTGAGAGGAAGAAGAGGAGGAAGAAGGAATCAGACACGGTCAGTCCTCGTTTAAAGATCATTCATTTACTTTATGGATTTATTTTATTTTATTGAAATAACAATAGGGGAATATAGAGTCATATAAAACACTTGAATCTATAGAAAAAATGGTCACACTTTACAGAAAGGTTTGTTAACTACATTAGTTAGCATTAACTAATAATGAACTGCACGTATACAGCATTTATTAATCTTTGTTAATTTCAACATTTACTAATACTTTATTAAAATCTTGTTAACATTAGTTAATGCACTGTGAACTAACAATGAACAGCTGTATTTTTATTAGCTAACATTAACAAAGATTAATACATATAACACATGTATTGCTCATTGTTAGTTCATGTTAGTTAATACATTAACTAATGAACCTTATTGTAAAGTGTTAACAATAACATTAAGATCACAATTCTGCATCTTGTATCAAAAATAAATCATACATGTAATATATATCAAGTATTGAAGTCAGAGAGTCGTAAATAAACCTGTAAGTCTGTGGAAAAAAGTCTACCAATTAGTAGTTAACACACATTTAGCTTTATATACAGTCAAACCAAACATTATTCAGAAACCATATATAATTTTTGATATTTGTTTACTAGTGTGTGCAGGACACTATAGTTCATTTATGTAAGTGAGGAGAGCAAAATAAAGTAAACTGTGACATATTATACCCTAATATTCTTCATACCAGTATAAAAATTTGGGATCAAAAACATTATTCCTGATGATGTTTTGCTGAAGTGTGTTTTCTGTAATTGCTAATGCTCTTTTTACACACAGACTGAACAACATGAAGCATTGCTTGGTCACTGGTTGAGCTAAACTGGTATTATCTAATTGTGTAGTTAAATTTAACAGCTGACAGATATTCAACATAATTCATGTGTGAGAGTCTAACAGAAGGACGGACAAAACCAGTCAAATATCCACTGATCTGATCATATTTTATTACCATTTTCTAAACCATAGCGAATAAACTGAGATAATGTGAGAAATGTTGAATATTGTATATGATATTTCCCAAATAAAATTACAGTTTTAGTTATATTATCCATTTCCAATAAACCAGTATCACTATCCCAGTGACAAACATTCAAAACACTTCAAAAAGAAACAGAGAAACATTGGACCGAAATAATTTGACTAAAAAACAAAAAAATACATGTAAGATAGTTTCTGTTTCCTCTTTACAAAAACAGCATAATAGAGAACCTTCTCCATTCTTAAAACTTACTTATTACATGGATAATATTGGTTTAAGTTTACCACTTTATAAATCCCACAAGGGGCAATTATATTAGGGCAGTGGCTTTCCACATACACTGTTTATTATTTTTAAGTGCATTTCTTTGACTTTATTAGGAATGACATATTTATTAATATCATGGATTATAATGATTATGATGCAGGTGGAGGAGCACATGGGTCACATCTTTAAATCCACTCAGTACAGCATCCCGACGTACTGTGAGTTCTGCTCCTCTCTCATCTGGATGATGGACAAAGCCTGTGTCTGCAAACGTGAGTCAAACTCTGTCCTGTTTAATCGTTTGGACATTTCAGTCTGGGAACGTTTTTCACTTGTAACATTGGAATTGCTCAAAATGGAGACTCAAGCAAGTGTTTTCATTTTGTATATGTTAGTATATCACTGATATACTGACACGATTTAAAGGTGCAGTGTGTAATATTTAGGAGGATCTGGTGACAGAAATGCAATATCATATGCATAACTATGTTTTCAGTGGTGTATAAACCCTTACATAATGAAGCGTTATGTGTTTATTAGCTTAGAATGAGGCGTTTCTCTCTACACACACCGCGGGTCCGCTTACACCGACATGTTTCTACGGTGGCCCTGAGCGGACAAACGTGTTTCGTCACTATGTTGTTCTTCATGATAAGAAGCTGCTAAAGTCAGCGAGTAAAACACTGACACAATGATGAACAAGTCACAATAATATTCGCAATAACATCGTTTTACTGAATAATTAAGTTAACATAATTTCTTAATTTATCTTTGTAAAGAATCCTCAGTGTATAACTGGCGACTCTCTGCTGTCTCAGACGACGACATCACTTCCTGTCGGCCACCGTAACTTCTGTTGGCTGCAGTTCACAACCTCACCACTAGATGCGCTAAAACTTACACACTGCACCTTTAAGGTCCTTGGACACTGAGTCCGAAATTTTCGCACATTGAAATATAAATACGACCTCACGTTGTGTCAATCACGTTTACACACGGCCTCTGAAACTTTCGTCCGTCGTGAAACAAAATTGTAAAAAACGAAAAAACGCAAACGCAGTGTGCAAGGACCTCAAGTCTTCGATGTTTCCATCACCCTGTTTTTACGCGCATTTTGAAGTATCACAACGAGAGATGGAAACGCCAAATTTAGAAAGCAAACTCTTAATTTGAAAAAAAGTTTCTATCCTCGCTAGAGGTGGTTTTTGACTTGTGCTAAAAAGAGTTAATGCGAATAAAGGGAGATGGAAACAGAAATAAATTCTGACGTAGCGAACATTAAACCCACGTGATCGATCGGCTTTTCCCTCGTAATGGGAATCCCGGCTCTTTTTAGGGAACCGAACCGGATCGTTTGGCTCATCTCAGTTTATAAGAGCGCGTGTTACTCATCTTGTTTTCTGACCCGATATTAAGGATTATCATTTCGCCGCACTGCTCGACCACATATGTTAATGTGTAGCTACTGTATTGGGACGAATCGAGCGCTGTGCCGGTAATGTCATCATGCGTGACAAAATAACATTCAGTTTGTGACTACTCGACGTGAGCGAAAGGATAATCATATTATTCTGTCTTGTATTAATATTCCAAAAATGGGAACCGACTCTCACCGTTCACTTAAAGTAAAGAGTATAGAAGTACCTAATCATAGATGGGTGTTTATATTTACTATTGGATACTAGGTTACCAATACCACCGTCATCCCCTCGAACAACTTGATGGCATTTGTTTGTTTTTTTGCAAACTTGGAAAAGATTCGCTTCACGTTCGTATGGAAACCCAGCTATAGTCTCGTTTCTTGCATGTTGGTCTCAGTCTCTGAGAGTCTGCTAGTCTGAGAACAGCGTAATTTGATTTTTTCATGCATTTCTTTTGGATCTGATCACTAACGTCTCGTCTCGTATTCCTGCTGATCTGAGAAGGACATCAGATCCGCTCAGTCTCTGTTTAGCGTGTTTAACCTGTGCTTGTTTCTCTCGTCTTCAGTCTGTCGCTATGCGTGCCACAAGAAGTGCTGTCTCAGGATGACCACCAAATGCAGTAAGAAGGTGAGAGGCTTCAGAGAGTGTGTTTGCCCGACACACACACTACCTGTCAAGAGATCCGGAAGATGTTTTTAAAAGAAGTCTCTTCTGCTCACCAGGGCTGCATTTCTTTGATTAAAAATACAAACAAAAAGCATTAATATTGTTAAATATTATGACAATTTAAATGTTCAAATTATGATGGTTTTCTAGTTTTAATATTTTAAAATGTAATTTATTCCTGTGATTAAAGCTGAATTTTTAGCATCCAGTCTTCAGTGTCACATGATCCTTCAGAAATCACTCTAATATGATGATCTGATGCTCAAGACACATTCATTATCTATCTATAAATTACAGGAACATCTGTGTGTGTGTGTGTGTCTGTTATTCGCATATCTCTCGAACCGTAAGTCCGATGGGTTTCAAACTTGACGGGTGTCTTGCTACGGGCACGAGTAACGGCAGTGCCAATTTTGACGTTGTTTGGAGTAGAAATGCAAAAGATATCGGTAAATATATCGGTAAAAGCAGCACACACCGATGATGTTTAGAAGGTTGTGGTTTAAACACTCGGTCAGCTACACATTAAGTCATGCACTAATACAAATGTCACTGAACTTTTTGCTCTCAAACACACCAAACCCACAATTACTAAAAACACACACAAAAACTGATTTTGCACGAGCACTGCACTAGTTATTATTAATGTTGAAAACAGAATTCTTTGATGAATAGAAAGTTCAAAAGAACAGCGTTTATTTGAAATAGAATCTTTTGTAACATTATAAATGTCTTTACTGTCACTTTTGATCAATTTAATTCATCCTTGATTAATAAAAGTATTGATTTATTTTATCCCCCCCCCCCCCAAAAAAAAACTCTTACTGACCCCAAACTTTTGAACGTTTGTGTTTAATGTTACAAAAGCTACTGTTTCAGATAAATGCTGTTCTTTTGCACTTTCTATTCATCAAAGAATCCTGAAATAAAAATAAATAAATAAATAATCATAAATGTTTCTTGATCATCAGATCATCATATTAGAGTGATTTCTGAAGGATCATGTGACACTGAAGACTGGAGTAATGATGCTGAAAATACAGCTTTGATCACAGGAATAAATTACACTTTACTGTATATTCACATAGAAAATAGTCATTTAAAATTGTAATAATATTTCAGAATTTTACTGTATTTTTGTTCAAATAAATGCAGCCTTGGTGAGCAGGAGAGACTTGTTTTAAAAACATTAAAAATCCTAATGTTGACTGGTCGCCTCTGGATGTTCCCATTCTCTCGTTTATATGATAAATGATCTTTCTGTGCCGTCTTCAGTTTGTATGTGGCTCATCTCAGTGCCTCAAACTTCATTCCAGTCATATTTTGTTCATGTAATTCATTTCTGTGTCTGTCTGTCTGTCTGTGTGTGTGTGTGTGTGTGTGTGTGTGTGTGTGTGTGTGTGTGTGTGTGTGTGTGTGTGTGTGTGTGACCCAGTTTGACCCCGAGCTGTCTTCACGGCAGTTTGGCGTAGAGTTGTCTCGTTTAACGAGCGACGAGAGAGCCGTCCCGCTAGTGGTTGAGAAACTCATCAACTACATCGAGATGCACGGGCTTTACACCGAGGGAATCTACCGTAAATCTGGATCCACCAATAAAATCAAAGAACTCAAGCTGGGTCTGGACACCGGTGAGACTCACGTGAACGCCATCTTATAGTCACATTGACTTGAGTAGAAACTGTCATTGAGTGTTTGCCTTCATTGCAGATGCGAACAGTGTGAGTTTAGACGACTACAACATCCATGTGATCGCGAGTGTCCTGAAACAGTGGCTGCGTGACCTTCCGAACCCCCTCATGACCTTTGAACTTTACGAGGAGTTCCTCAGGGCTATGGGTATGAGCGCTTCCCAGCCGGATTCACAACACACTCTTCTTAAGATTCTTCTCTGATGTTTTCTACTTGTTTAAAGTCACCATGAAATCAAAACTGATAACAATTGATGCTTGATTTGGTTTATATTTAAACCAAATCAAGGAGACAATACAGTACCTTTTTCCTCTAACATTAAGTATTGCCTTTAGAATTCGAATACAATTTGAATTTAGCTAATATTTAAGAAAGAAATTTGAATTTAACTTTTCAGACATTTTGATAGTGCACATCATTATTGTGTTAAATTCATATAATCTTGAATCAGAATCAGTTCCTCTTACAGCATCTCTTCTTTGATGACGAGGGCGGGGCTATAACCTGTCACTCACATGAGATCAGCCAATAGCAAACCACGACCATCCAATCAATTCCACACAGACACAATCAAGCCCCGCCCACATGTGTTCTTGTTCCAGAAGCGTTTCACTCAATATACGACACAATAGAGAAGAGCTATCGCCACTTGCGTTCATGCTGACTTTAATCAAAAGTATTTTTCTAGAATTGCATTTAGGAACATTCTTACAAACTATATACCTCAAGAAACTTCTTGAAAAGATTTTCGTGAATCATTTTTAGGAATACTACTGATAATTTGTGCTGATTTGCATGGATGTACCGCAGTGTGTTTTCTGATTTGCATGGATATAACACAGTGTGTTTTCTGATTTGCATGGCTATAACGCAGTGTGTTTTCTGATTTGCATGGCTATAACGCAGTGTGTTTTCTGATTTGCATGGCTATAACGCAGTGTGTTTTCTGATTTGCATGGCTATAACGCAGTGTGTTTTCTGATTTGCATGGCTATAACGCAGTGTGTTTTCTGATTTGCATGGCTATAACGCAGTGTGTTTTCTGATTTGCATGGCTATAACGCAGTGTGTTTCTGATTTGCATGGCTATAACGCAGTGTGTTTTCTGATTTGCATGGATGTAACGCAGTGTGTTTTCTGATTTGCATGGATGTAACGCAGTGTGTTTTCTGATTTGCATGGCTATAACGCAGTGTGTTTCTGATTTGCATGGCTATAACGCAGTGTGTTTTCTGATTTGCATGGATGTAACGCAGTGTGTTTTCTGATTTGCATCGATGTAACGCAGTGTGTTTTCTGATTTGCATCGATGTAACGCAGTGTGTTTTCTGATTTGCATGGCTATAACGCAGTGTGTTTTCTGATTTGCATGGCTATAACGCAGTGTGTTTTCTGATTTGCATGGATGTAACGCAGTGTGTTTTCTGATTTGCATGGCTATAACGCAGTGTGTTTTCTGATTTGCATGGATGTAACGCAGTGTGTTTTCTGATTTGCATGGCTATAACGCAGTGTGTTTTCTGATTAGGGCTGCAACGATTAGTCGACGTTGTCGACAACGTCGACAATAAAAATTTGTCGACAAATATCTTTGTTGTCGAGTAGTCGTTTGATCTCACGTGACCTAATGTAAGGGCCTGCAATCCCGCGATTTGACCGCTACGGCGCTGTAGCGCTAGAGTGTAGTGCAGCCCTTACAAATGCTATTGCGGTAGAAGAGAAAACAGCGCGAATTATGACATTGCAAACGAATCCGAACTAGCAAGGTTTAGGTTTGGGAAAGTTTCACAAAACTTCAAATCAAGAATGCTGTCGTGTGCAATTTTCACGGGGCACAACATGCATGTTGGAGTGCAAGAGGAAACATCCCGGCAAAAGAGGAGCCGGTGAGAGGAGAGTGTTCTCCAGCTGGAGCTTACTAACCAGCGGTAAATCTCTCTTTATTAGAGAATGCAATACTACTAATAATAGTAATAATATTATCAATAGTAATATAATTACAGTAATGTGATGACTTATTTTGTATAGAATAAAGCTTGATCGAGCTTAGGAGTCAGGGCTGTTTTTATTATTGTAACACTATTAGTATATTAGGTATTATTATAGTCTTATCACTTGCCTGTATTTTGTTCAATAATCATGAAGACTTACAAAACGAGATGTTATATCCTTCCTATGATATAGGAATAATATCATGGCAGTCACTTTATCATACTATAAATTAAAAGGTGAATGAGAACGTCTCTGTCAGCTCAATTGTCATGTAAAAAAAGATTGAAATTTTATAATTATAATAATTGTTTGCAGATTAATATTTTTCCATTCTTTGTGTCCTGAAGTAAATGTCCCTTTTTCTGTTTCAGTTCTAAGAAAAGCAGTGGGCCTATTAAACAATGCTTAGAGAGCATTTGTGTGTGATTTGAGTTGGACCGAAATCTGAAAACTTAAAGAGAATGACCTGTTTAGTTGGCTCAAAGTTCATTAAAACAACTATTTCAAAAGCTGAAGTGATTTTCTTTTTTTATATTATAGTTAGAATATGTATAACTCAATGTTTTAACTAATTGGAAAAGCTGAATAATCGTTCCAAACTTACTGATTAGTCTGCAAAATAATCGATGATTAGTCGATTAATCGTTCTAATAATCGTTAGATTAATCGATTATCAAAATAATCGTTTGTTGCAGCCCTATTTCTGATTTGCATGGATGTAACGCAGTGTGTTTTCTGATTTGCATGGCTATAACGCAGTGTGTTTTCTGATTTGCATGGATGTAACGCAGTGTGTTTTCTGATTTGCATGGATGTAACGCAGTGTGTTTTCTGATTTGCATGGCTATAACGCAGTGTGTTTTCTGATTTGCATCGATGTAACGCAGTGTGTTTTCTGATTTGCATGGATGTAACGCAGTGTGTTTTCTGATTTGCATGGATGTAACGCAGTGTGTTTTCTGATTTGCATGGATGTAACGCAGTGTGTTTTCTGATTTGCATGGATGTAACGCAGTGTGTTTCTGATTTGCATGGCTATAACGCAGTGTGTTTCTGATTTGCATCGATGTAACGCAGTGTGTTTTCTGATTTGCATGGATGTAACGCAGTGTGTTTTCTGATTTGCATCGATGTAACGCAGTGTGTTTTCTGATTTGCATGGCTATAACGCAGTGTGTTTTCTGATTTGCATGGATGTAACGCAGTGTGTTTTCTGATTTGCATGGATGTAACGCAGTGTGTTTTCTGATTTGCATGGATGTAACGCAGTGTGTTTTCTGATTTGCATGGATGTAACGCAGTGTGTTTTCTGATTTGCATGGCTATAACGCAGTGTGTTTCTGATTTGCATCGATGTAACGCAGTGTGTTTTCTGATTTGCATGGATGTAACGCAGTGTGTTTTCTGATTTGCATCGATGTAACGCAGTGTGTTTTCTGATTTGCATGGCTATAACGCAGTGTGTTTTCTGATTTGCATGGATGTAACGCAGTGTGTTTTCTGATTTGCATGGCTATAACGCAGTGTGTTTTCTGATTTGCATGGCTATAACGCAGTGTGTTTTCTGATTTGCATGGCTATAACGCAGTGTGTTTTCTGATTTGCATGGATGTAACGCAGTGTGTTTTCTGATTTGCATGGCTATAACGCAGTGTGTTTTCTGATTTGCATGGCTATAACGCAGTGTGTTTTCTGATTTGCATGGATGTAACGCAGTGTGTTTTCTGATTTGCATGGATGTAACGCAGTGTGTTTTCTGATTTGCATGGATGTAACGCAGTGTGTTTTCTGATTTGCATGGATATAACAGTGTGTTTTCTGATTTGCATGGATGTAACGCAGTGTGTTTTCTGATTTGCATGGATGTAACGCAGTGTGTTTTCTGATTTGCATGGATATAACACAGTGTGTTTTCTGATTTGCATGGCTATAACGCAGTGTGTTTTCTGATTTGCATGGATGTAACGCAGTGTGTTTTCTGATTTGCATGGCTATAACGCAGTGTGTTTTCTGATTTGCATGGCTATAACGCAGTGTGTTTTCTGATTTGCATGGCTATAACGCAGTGTGTTTCTGATTTGCATGGATGTAACGCAGTGTGTTTGTCATGTTGGCTGGTGCAGGTCTGCCGGATAAACGTGAGCTGGTTCAGGGAGTGTATTCGATCATCGATCAGCTCAGCAGAACTCACCTGAGCACACTGGAGAGACTCGTATTCCACCTGGTCCGGTGAGACTTTTCAGTTTATTTATTTATAAGGACAACACACATTTATCAACATTTCTGTAAATGTGCCAGTGTTAGCAAGCTAGCTAATATTAACCTGCAGTCCTTTGGCAGGATGTTTTTGAAACCTTCAAAATATTAATAATAATAAAAGAACATTACGAGGACATCATAACTCAATACAGACAGCAAAAGAAGATTTTTCAGCACAGGACAGAAGCCATGCGAAGGCTAAACATCAGCACACTAATTCAGTAACAACAACCAGCATTTCCACACAAGCATACAAAGCCACAACACAAGCTTCTGTCGGTACATGTATAGGCATGCAGGAATAAACAATAAACATACGTAAAACACAGCCAACGTTATATTAATCTCGATAACGTAATGGAGACACAGTTACATGTTAAAGGATCAGTTCACTTTCAAGTGAAAATTAGCCCATGATTTACTCTCCCTCAAGCCATCCTAGGTGTTTATGACATTATTCTTTCAGACGAATACAATCAGAGGTATATTAAAAATGTCCTGGCTCTTCCAGGCTTTATAATGGGCGTGGATTGCAACCAACAGATTGAAGCTCAAAAACGTGCATCTATCCGTCGTAAACGAACTCCACACAGCTCCTGTGGGGTGATAAAGGCCTTCTGAAGCAAAGCCATGAGTGTGTGTAAGAAAAATATTCATATTTAACACGTAACAAAGTAAAATAACTAGCCTAGCTAACGGCTCTACTTGCCCCTAATGCGCAACTTATGAAATTTATGCCGTCATAAGTAGCGTAAATATCAGCATGAGTTGCACTTTACACTTAAAGGAGCTGTATGTAAGAAATTTATTTGAATTAATTATAAAATGGCCCTGATATGTCACTAGACATTGAGAAATCATGTTCATTTCAAATACTTATATCACTGACAACAGTAGTCCGGCCAGGATATTGTCATTCAAAAAGTGAAGTTGCAGCCCTCAACTGATGTTGATGTTGTCATGTTGTGTTTTGGTCTGATGCTCCACCCTCCACCTATCGACCATTCATGAAGTCAGTAGTGTTGCGCCATCTGGGTTGCCAGCTCTGCTCTAGTTACCACAGCTGCAGCTACACACGTGTCGGATAAAAAAATGCAGCCGATCTGGCAACCTCGAGTCAGGGGGGAGGGGGAGGGGATACACCGCTCTACAGTAATTTGAAAGTGATTGCAGTACCGGTTTTGGCCACAATCTTACATACAGCTCCTTTAAGTGTTCGTTTGGCCAGAAGCTAGTTATTTTACTTTTGACTATTTTTACTATTTTTGTTCCACAAACTCATCGTTTTGACTGGATCTCCTTGAGCTCCCGGCATCTCGAAAACGCCACGCTGATATTGATCCTCGTTTTAGTTCTCCTTTTGTCCCAAAGTCTGCTTGCCATGGTCCATAATGTTCAAACGAAACAACAACAGCGTGAGCGCGCCGCTAGCCGTAACGCAGTTGTCCATGTGTGTCGCCATGGTTACAATATCAGTACGAGCGGAAACCAGGGATAACGCGGATACTATGTCAGTGACGGGCGACAAGTAAACAGGGACGAGCCATTATTTAAAACTGAAGTTAAAAATCTTTGGGAACCTTTGGGATATTGTAAGTACACAACTGCAGGAAATATATCTCAGTGCAAGTGATTTTGGGATATTTTATTACAAAAAATCTTACATATTGTAGCTTTAATATAACTCTGATTGTATTCGTCTGATAGAAGAAAGTCATAAGCACCTAGGATGGCTGGAGGGAGAGTAAATCATGGGCTTGAAAGTGAACTGATCCTTTAATAAAATGGTCACATGCATCTGAGTAATAAAGCAGCACTATATAAGAACCAGGGTTCCCGCGGGGTCTTAAAAAGCCTTAAAAGCATTGAATTTATTAATTTGGAAATAATACCTTAAAAAGACTTTAAAAAGTCTTGAATTTTGATGTCTGGGTCTTAAAAATTGTGCTATGTAACTTCTCCGTATTGTATTTTTCCTCAAAAGTTTCATTTGTCAACCACGATTATTATGATTTTTGATGTTTATTGTTCAGGGGTCTCTCAGCTCCCCATATTCCCAGCATGGAATAAGTAGCTAGCTAATGTTAAAAAACAACTTAACATTGTTCGGCAAACTTGCTTGTGGCCTACTGAAATGTTTTTATTTTTCACACCTGCTTGCCTTATCATCTTTTACCCATTCCACATTTGAAAAATAAATGAACACAAGTTCAAGGATTTTGTTTTTCTTTGTTGGTAGGGACGTGAAATAGGTATTAATTTTTTATATAAATGGTCTTAAAAATGTCTTAAAAAGACTTGAATTTAACTTGAAGAAACCTGTAGGAACCCTGAAGAACACCAGACTCCGTGTAGTCCTGATGTGTGTGTGGCGTGTGTCATGTGTAATGTGTGTTTGTTTCAGGATCTCGTTCCAGGAGGAGACGAACCGCATGTCTGCGAACGCGCTGGCCATCGTGTTTGCCCCCTGTATACTGCGCTGTCCCGACACCACCGACCCGCTGCAGAGCGTCCGGGACATCGGCAAGACCACCGCGTAAGACGCGCACAGGAAAATACACTTTTATACACCAATATGATACAAATAAATACAAATTCTGCTCACAATGCTCCAAATCTGGTATGAAAATAACAAAAAGTTGCCAAGTCTGCGTTTTTCCTGCGAAATTGGGCTAATTTGACACAAATATGAGACTTGTATTGAAATATTTTATATTCTACCAATGATGAAACTGTGCTATATGTTCAGTTTTGTGATCACTACAATATATTAGAGGTGTAACGAGACCCTCATCTCACGATACAATATTACTGCGATACTCAAGACACATGATAAAAGATTAACAAAAAATGCACTGTTGATTAAAATGCTAAATTTGATATCATTGTGTGTGTAAATGAATACTGTTGGACTCAGTGCTGAAACCCAAAGCACAGGACAATAGAGACACCAGAATAACAATATTCATGATTCTGAAGCTGAAAACTGAATTATTGTAGATGAATATTTGATCTCTGTCACTGACTAGATATATTTATAATAATGTCGGCCACTTTTACTGGTAACATCAGACATCTGGCATTATCAGCACACACACATATTCCCCCAGTGCATTATTATACATTATATTCAACATTATATATAGCAGTTTAATGTAGAACTGACACTAAAACTCTGAAAACTAGAGTTTTTCTCACAGATTTTGGGTGAATTACACTATCCATGATACATATTGTTGCATTTTCTGTATTGCTATATATTGTAACATGATATATAGCTACACCCCTACTATGCACCAATAAAACCCATCCAGTTATTGCTGAAATGGTTATTGATCATATTCAACGCAATTTTGTGTGATACGTCTAAACTCTAATGTTTATAATTCTGAATGAACACGCACCAATGCTACATTTTTCTAAATGTCATAATCATTTGTTAACAAACAAGTATTCCTTACTTCTATGAGCTCATTGTTTGTGCATTCAATTATTACATTATTTAAATTATTATTTTTCTCTAACTGTGATTTTGTATATGTGCATTTCTGAAATACATAACTTAGACAGTTTCCTCTGATATCAGATCGCTCTAGATTATAATGTGGACATTTTCTGTAAAGATGCTGTGAAAGATGTGTGTTGTGAAAAGCGCTATAGAAATCAATGTGAGTTGAATTGAAGGCTTTCCTCAGGTGTGTGGAGCTGATCATCTGTGAACAGATGAGGAAATATAAAGCTCGTCTGAAGGACATCAACACACTGGAGTTCGCAGAGAGCAAAGCCAAGAGTCGCCTGACACACATCCGCCGCTCGATGGTGAGCCACACACACACACACACACATCTCAGAGCCTCAGACTCACACACGATCTGCACCCGATGCTGCCACACACACTTCATGTTTTAGCCCCGCCCCTTTTATGACACGTCACTTTCCATGCATTTAGTACACACTCCTCCTGAGTGCCATGAAGAAGCACAAATCCCATCCATCCCTCTATCCATCTATATCAGTCTATCTATCCATCTATCAATCTATCCATCCATCCATCCATCATCTATCTATCTATCTATCTATCTATCTATCTATCTATCTATCTATCTATCTATCTATCTATCTATCTATCTATCTATCTATCTCTGTCTGTCTCTGTCTATCCATCTATATCTGTCTGTCTATCTATCTGTCTGTCTGTCTGTCGATCTATCCATCTATCAATCTATCCATCCATCCATCATCTATGGTAAATGGTAAATGGTAAATGGACTGCATTTATATAGCGCTTTCACTGACCCAATGGCCACCAAAGCGCTTTACAATTTGCCTCACATTCACCCATTCACTCACTCATTCATACACCGACGGGCGACGGCAGCCATGCAAGGCGCTATCCAGCTCGTCGGATAGATCTATCTATCCATCATCTATCTATCTATCTATCTATCTATCTATCTATCTATCTATCTATATCTATCTATCTATCTCTGTCTATCTATCTGTCTATCTATCCATCTATCAATCTATCCGTCTATCCATCCATCATCTTATCTATCTATCATCTATCTATCTATCTCTGTCTCTGTCTATCTATCCATCTGTCTCTCTGTCTATCTATCTATCTATCTATCTATCTATCTATCTATCTATCTATCTATCTATCTATCTATCTCTGTCTCTGTCTATCTATCTATCTATCTATCTGTCTGTCTGTCTATCTATCTATCTATCTATCTATCTGTCTACCTATATACATCCATCCAATCAATCAATTCTGAAATACAGAGTTGCAAAAATGAGCAAACCTCACAAAATACATTTAAACCTTGGCTAATATAACATCAAATTTGACCTTCAGATGGACTATCAGCATTTTCTGAAGGTTAAGCTGCTCCTTTCATTTGCTGAAAAAGTTCCCAAGTCTCATTTTGTACCACATTCATGGAAAGTGCCGTACATCTTCACTTCCCCATTCTGTTCCCAGACAGACATTCCACTAATCCTGTTTTCTTCCCTTCACTCCTTCCCAATCCCCTTCTCCCCATCCTCCTCTTCCAGAAACCAGTACTAATCGCGGTTAGGTTTATTGGCATTACAAGAACTGCCACGCTGGTATGTATCCACGCCGCAACATCTGTGACGTCACACGGCTAGTTCATGTCCGTCCGCGTGTCAGTGTAGCATCGCTAGTTGCCATCCGTGGTTTGATGACATGTTTATTTGGCCCCGTTGAAGACGCTCAAGCTAACTATGAAATGCTGTCGTGTGATTGGTTGTGAGAGGTGATCGGAGGAGAGTACGGTCCAAATGATGTGCTCAAATGTCACGTTCAGTTTTTTTTGTTTTGTTTGGTCTTGTTTTAACCACACATGCGATATGCTGCCGAATTACTAACATTTCCTCTTTCATTTCTCCTGCATTTGCTTCTCGCTGCGTTATTACACAGCCAAACGCAGTTAAAAAGGTAAAGCTCAGTGACTGTGTGTTAGTGTGTGTGTGTGTTTAGGGAGTTGCGTCTCACTTGTAGTGCCGTCTGTCTCCCTCATGTAAGGTGTGGTCATGCTAGACTTTGTATTATTGATTCACATGCAAATACCGTATGTGTGTGTCAAGCATGTGTGTTTTGATAATTATTGTCTATATGTGTTCCAAAAGGCTGTAATTATACATACATTTTAATTTCATAATATTTCCTGCTTACTGGAATACAATCGAAATTGTAAATTCCAATTCCAAATGGTAATAATTTAATTTAAACAATTATGTAAAGAATTTTAACATTTAAAGTCGCTCTGTAGTCAATTGTATCCCTTAACACTCATCTTTGATCACTAAAATGACATATTTAAAAGTTTTTTCCTTGAAAAAAATTCTTCATGCCTTAAAATATCTTGAATGTAACTCGACACCCTTGCCTCATTTAGTATGCGTGGTTCTATGAATATGCAAATGAGCCCCGCCTCCACTCACTCCCTCAGCTCAGAGATCCACTGGTTGACGATCACACGTTGATCTGATTGGTTACAAGGTCGTTTGTGACGTCAGAAACACCAGCGATTTCAAACCGTGTTTTTGAGACTGTCTTTGGTTCACTGCAGTTTTAAGGAGAAAACACTCAGCAATGCTGTCGACTTATGAACTTACACATGGTGTGTCTTAAAGCGTATTAAAACACCACATAGACACATAAACAACATTACAAGCTGGATTTCACCACAGGGGGACTTTAAACGTTTATATAAAGATTTAAATAATTTTTTTTACATTTAATTCCAATGTATCAACAATGCTTTTTCGCTTTTATAGTAAAGCTTAATTTTCCATGAATTCCAAATACAAATTTTGACCAAATACAAAGTCAAGCGTGATTTCATCTTTACCACATTGATTACTCGCTGCTTATGCTGCAGTTTGCTGTTTTCTTCAGGGTAAAGGGCGTATTCGCAAAAGCGGTCGCCACACGCCCTCGCCGCCACTGAGCCCGCGGATGACCGAAGGGGAGGAGCCAAGCGAGGAGGGGGCGGAGTCTGGGCTGAGCGAGCAGCAGCAAGCCGCCATGCAGCAAGAAGAGAAAGTTTTGACTATGCAGATCGAAAACCTGCAGAAAGAGAAGTTCGTAAACACCTTTTGCATCATGATTATCGTTTCTATGTACTGACATTAAAGGGATATCTAAATGTCCCAAAAATTAAAATTAGCCCATGATTTATCCTAGGTGTATATGACATTCTGTATATGACCAACACAATCAGAGTTATATTAAAAAAATGTCCTGGCTCTTCCAAGCTTTTTAATGGGAGTCAATGGGTATATTTTTTTTGGAAGTCCATCAAGCGCATCCATCCGTGATAAAACTGCTCGAAACGGCTCCTTGGGGTAATACAAGCCTTCTGAAGCGAAGCGATGCATTTGTGTAAGAACACCTAGGATGGCTTTAGGGTGAGTAAATCATGGGCTAAATTTCATTTTTGGGTGAACTATCCCTTTAAATAACTACAAGACTATGTATTACTCTGCAATGTTGTTTTTGGAAAATCCCCACATTTATTCCTTACGAGTTTGAGGTATGGTTGGGTTGAGGAGTAAAGGTAGGGTGTAACTACAAATACAAGTACTTTAAATGTAATTACAATTCATGAACATAAGTATATAGTATCAAATGGATAAGTGTGTAGTAGGTGAGACCACCTGATGTAAAGTTTGACCCAGTCACACACAGTTTGGAACTGAACAGTGAATGAGAACGGGTTATGACTGGATCACTTGAAATATTAAACCACTGTAAGAATATCATTCAAATATATGTATGACTTTCTTTATTTTGTGGAACATAATCATATTTTGAGGAATTGTAACAAATCCACTGGAGGCGAGCTTGGTGAACCCAAGTGCAGCATTTATTTCCATAACAATATCAAACGTAAAACAAAGGCATGACGTGGCATGAACATCAGCGCACCAACAATGAACCAATGACAACATGACACGATCACATGACTAACACAGGGAATCACATGATAAGACATGAACCAAACGCCCCACATAAAAACACAACAAAACAAGACACCAAACGTTCAGGAGGGTGGTGGAGCGGATTTATTATTTTCATTTACACCTGTTTTTCACTCATTTTAGGGAAGAACTAACCTATGAGATGTTGGCTTTGGATCCCAGAGCGTCGGATGATGAGATGCTGGAGTCGGAAGCGTCGATCGGGACAGCGGACAGCTCGGAAAACCTCATGGAGGCGGAAGGGGCCATGTCCGATCAATGGGGTAACGGCGCTATTTATGGTAGTTTGAAAGAGTTCTGTCATACTTTACGCTCCGTAATGTCGTTCCGAACCCAACACAACCTGAGAGTAGGGCTGGGTAAAAAATATCGATTTCTCGATATTAATCGATTCTCATTTTTACGAACCGATATCGATTCTTAAATCTCAAGAATCGATTAGTCAATCCTGTTTTCATTTGATGAATGAATGGAGCATTGTAGCGCTCATCCCATCCAATAAATCGCAATAATCTTTGTGCTTTGTTACTATTGATACTAAATAAAGTCTCAAATTTCAAATTACATCCATTCTCTTACGAAATTCAAAAACATAAATACCGTTTTGGCGCTGTGGCGTGAGATCGCTCTGGCTCGGCTCAAGAGAAGTACATGATCTCCTCTTCTGCCTTAATAATACCAGTTACAGCGCGAAAAACATGAATGAACGTCTGAAAGTGTGTTAAAGATAGAGTACAACTTATCGAAGTCCGTATCATGTCACATGGAATCGCTCAATCAGTGTTTCAACCGTGGAAAGATGTCAGTAAAACAACTTGTAAACAATGTCATGTAACGTCACATTTACCTCAGAAAAACCATATGTGGCCATAAACTCGTTAGTCAGCTAGAAATATTAACTCTAAAGAGGAGCATTTTGCTAAATATATGCACCATATTACATATTCATTATAATTTTTAATGTTCTTCGATATTTAATGCATGTTTGAATAAATCTGGCAAGTTTTTATGACAGCCACCATTTAAATGTTTATATTTCATATAACTTTATTATTATAAAAATAAATAAAAGTGTAATTTAAGTGATTGTATAGCTACAAATCAGTTAATATTTACCTTCAATATTATAGTAGGCTAATGAAGCCTAGTAGGCTACAACTGACTCCCATAGTTTACAGCATTAGTTAAGAGATTTGTTTTCCTTGAGAAAATTTGCCATGTATTGTACCTGATATCCAAAATAATCAATATTGAATTGAATCGAATCGGAATCGAAATCGAAATCGAATCGAATTGTGAAATTTGTGTCAATACCCAGCCCTACCTGAGAGGCTTCTGTACAAAACCAGAACTAAGAAGATCCATAAAAAGGACTTAAAGTCAATGTAAAACTAATCCATTTGAATCAAGCGGTTTAATCAAAGTCTTGATCAACAGATTTATTTTAGCCTTTTATTCACATCTAACCAAGATGTGCTCTATGTGTGTGCTTATATGTGAATTAAATCTGTTCATCATATAAAGCAAATGTATCTCTTCACAAGACTTGGATTAAACAACTCGATTCATGCTACAACGATCTAATAAAATTTGGTACCTGGACTTCGTTAGTTTGTGCGTCAATTAAAAAAGTTACACAAAGGTCCATAGTGGCAAAAATGTCCGTGTAAAAAACTGTCATAAAAATGTGAAGCTTGTGAGCACAGATTTAAGTTTGGTCTCATTTTAAAGAAGACCCTTGCAGATTATTGTTGAAGTATAGAAATAAACCGAAAAAAAGAAATGGAGGTTTAAGTTTAGGAAAATGATTTATGAACATTATTTTATATAAAATATATATTTTATGAAACATGTTGGACCCTAAGACTGCTAGAAGTCGTGATCCAAATGTGAGGTTGATATTTCATAAAATGAGCCTTCAGTGAGAGTGTGTTTGGGCGCAGGAACAGATTCCCCCATTAGATGCATTGGATTTGGGATTTTGGGAGTTTTTCGCTCTCAAATATTACAAGCGCACAATTTTTTTTATAACAAACATACAAACCACACACTTTGACATCCATACCAACACACCCACACAATATCGCTGCATAATTTATCCAATTGGCTTTATAATATCCATAAGCAGAAAACAGGAATAAAGTATTTTATAGCATTTGTTTTATTTGCCAAACCTGAGAAAATGGCACCAACTGGTAAAAAAATTTGTAAAATAAATACATTTTAAAGCCTTGCCAACAGAACAAAAGCCCATTAACAAAGATTGCATAATTTTATAGTTAAATGGCCCTGGGATTAAACATTGCCGTTTCAATGGGGACATTTTTGTCCTAAAGGTCCTGAGAGGAACTATTGTGTGTTACTGGCGTAAAATAGATTTATTAAAGGAAATGGGGGTGAAATAATAAAATTCCAATAAAAATACACACCTGTGCCAAAGTATATACAGTTGGCATTAACACAGGCACAAAAAAAAAAAAGACAGAAACCACTGCATATCTTACTTTGAGGGGCGAGTAAATGATGACAGAATTGTAATTTTTCCGTGAGCGGTGTTGCGCGTGATTTGTAGTGTGAAACGTCTCCTTTTCAGACAGAATCACCGGCGCGGTGTCGGCAACACGCTGGAGGAAGTCCGAGTCTAAAAGCAGACGTGGTTTACGGCGTCAGCCCGAATCCCTGGACTCTGTGGACTCGGCCGTCGCCTCGCTGTCCTCCGAGACGCCTCACTATCGGCTCCGGTCCTCCTCTTCCGGCCCTCTGTTTTCCTCCGCCTCTTCCGGTGGGGATTTGCACATTCTCCCCGACCAGGAGGGCTTAGAACAGGCTTCCCTGAACACCCGATGTGCCTCCAGCTCCGAGAAAACCCGTCCACGACCCCGAGGGAACCGAAGCTGCCCGCCAAAGCCCCGCGAGGACGGAGGCGTCCGCAGACGAGAGCACGAGTTCGGTTCTTCTCAGCCTTTAGTGCTGTACGGGAGTAATGAATTCATGGTGTGATCATGATGGTGTCCAACATTAGCTGGAGCTGGTAACGCAAAAACGCCAATAAAAGTCTGAGTAACATTTGAAGTGAAAGAGAAAAGCTTGGGGATCAGCCTTTCACAGTCCTGTTAATGAACAAAATGTACGGTGTAAAGATGAACGCACCCATATCTACGACCTACTGACTGTAAAGTGGACCTGCTGGACCGGTCCGTTCTTCACAACAGATTCTAAGAATAGTTGAACTGGGAAAGAGCGATTTTTAATCAACCTGTGATGTCCATTTTCATGTTTACAGAACTGAGCCAATGAGAGGTCACATGACTTCAACTGACTGCATGCCGTATTGCTACCATTGTTTTCACTCTATGATTAAAACCTTTGATAAAGTGCTAAATATGTAAAATAATATTATATTATTGATGAGGGTCGAATGAATGGTGTAAATAGCTGAAATCCCTGTGCTGCTGGTTGACCCGTGTGAAAATAACGTCTTTTTGTGTTGCGGATCGAAAACTTGTGTGTCTCTGTATGTTGAGTTTCTTATTTCCAGGTATTATTTCTTCCCTGAACAGATTTTTAATATTGTTTTTTTGTTGTTGTTGCATAAAGCAAACAATCTTGATTTTCTTTATGGAAAATCGTTTTGATTCTGGGGTGAAATTTGACCCGGACGTGTAATAGTGAGATTCATTCACTTTTTTTTCTTTGGTTCCAGAAACACGTTTTCCCTTCAGATGGAAAAGCAAAAGGATGAATAGGGATGGAAAGTCAAGTGTGTTTGTACCATGATTCTCTGCTGTAGTTTTAATCACTGTTGTTTGTTTCGTCGGTTTTCCCCTTCAGTGTTACGTGCAACAAAATCAGGACTTGAATTTTTTTCGTCTTTTTTTTGTAAATTGCTTTTTTAAAGTATATTGTGTTTTATACATGCTGATATTTTATTGTGAAATTTAAGTATATAAATATATTTTTTGGTGTAATGTTCCACTGTGCCATCCGGAGTCACATATTTAGTTGAACTTTTTGGTTAAACTTTTACACTGCAAAAAAATGCTTTTCTTACTCAGTATTTTCTGTCTTGTTTCCAGTCCAAATATCTACAAATTCTTAAAACAAGCTGCATTTACTAGAGTAGTATAGCATAAGATGTTATGTCTTGTTTTCGCTTAAAACAAGATAAATTATCGGCCAATGGGGTCAGAAAAATGATATGGTTTCTGCTTGAATTAAGTTTATTTTTCTGACCCCATTGGCAGATCATTTTTCTTGTTTTAAGCAAAAACTCACTTCATTTTGACCCCCATAATGACATATCTTATAACATTTTACTCATCTAGTAAATGCATCTTGATTTAAGAATTTTTTGATATTTGGACTGGAAACAAGACAAAAATACTAAGTAAGAAAAGCATTTTTTGCAGTGTAGTTTTGATTTAGGGCTAATGTATCACACACATCTCAACAGGGTCCTCTGCTGTGTTTTCTACCCTTTAATCTGACATTAGATGCTCATTTATAGCAGTAAAGCTCATAGAAAACACGGACACATAACAGCATAAAGCTCGAAGCTTTAATATAAACTATAGTAAGTTTACACAGTGAACATTGCTGTTTATGTGCAGGGAATGTGTCGAAGATGTTTACTCCTTTTTGATGTGCAGTTACATATATCTATGTCTATATTTATGTCATATCATAGCCTATTGCAAGAAACCATCACCAATGTCACAAAAGACTATGTTTTTATGTTTTGATAAGTATACTTGGGTACTATCTTAACCTCAAGTCCACTAATGCTCAAAAACAGGCGGTAAAGGAAGCGGTGGTTTGTTGCGTCCTGCATAAGTGAATGTAATCACTGTAGCATGCTACACTATTGTCAAAGTTTCTCTTTTACAGCTGTATTTAAGATCATGTTTAAGGCCAGAAACATACTCTATGCAAATACGCAAACCCGAATGCAGTTCCATACATATTTAACATATATTACTGTGTGGCTTTAGTAGTTACCTTCAAATGTCTGTTGTTAAACCTGGATTTAGCTAGCTAGCTATAAACATGTTGACACTCTAACATTAACTTATTTCTCTTCAATCTGTCCCTCGTCAGTAAACCTGAAAGAAATACTGACCGTTATTATGCTAATTAGCTCTAGGCGCGCGCTAGCCGCAGAGACACGTGACCCTGCGGCGCTAGACGCGTTTGCGATCGCACTTGAGTATGTTTCTGTATGTTTGAAATCAAGGGATGTCATTTGAGGGATGTAATATCTTATGTTGAATGAACCTGCGCTGTGTGTTTTGTGTTCGCAGTTGTAAACGGTGCAATTTGTGTAATTTCTTTAATGTGTAAGGATGTAAAAAGAAAAATGAACATAATCATTGTCTTATTAAAAAATAAATAAAAAAATAAACCTGGCATATGTTTTGCCTATTTGTCCTGGTAGAGAATGTATTTAAAGCTGCAGTCCGTAACTTTTTGGGGTTAAAAATTATCCAACATAATTTGAGGAAGTACGTAACCAGCCAGTGTTCGACACACTCTGCTTACCGTAGCTCGATTCACAATGGTGAGCTTGTAATAATGTTTTTAATTCCAGTGGTACTGGTGGATTTCCGCGAGAGACTCAAGCATGTCTTTACGTCACATCTGTACACACACCTGTACACACACATCTGTACACATAAAGAAGAGTCTCGGCTAGTCGGCTATATTGCGTCATTACGTCACATCTGTCATTACGACACACACACACACACCTGTACACACACATCTGTACACACACATCTGTACACACACATCTGTACACACACATCTGTACACATAAAGAAGAGTCTCGGCTAGTCGGCTATATTGCGTCATTACGTCACATCTGTCATTACGACACACACACACCTGTACACACACATCTGTACACACACATCTGTACACACACACCTGTACACACACATCTGTACACACACACACACCTGTTCACACACACCTGCACACACATCTGTTCACACACACCTGTACACACACATCTGTACACACACACACACACACACACCTGTACACACACATCTGTACACCTGTACACACACACACACCTGTACACACACACCTGTACACACACATCTGTTCACACACACCTGTACACACACACACACCTGTACACACACATCTGTTCACACACAGCTGTACACACACACACACCTGTACACACACATAAAGAAGAGTCTTGGCTAGTCGGCTGTGAGTGTGAGGATGTTGGAGGTGGAGATTTATAGCCTTTTCTCACAGCACTTGATATAAATAAACTTATTAATTTGATGGCGGATCCAGAAAGGTTCAAACGACGATCACTAGTGACAACTGGAGACTCCCCCGCTGTAACATGCAGAAGACTTCGGAGTGGCTACAGAAGAGAGACTGCAACGGCCCATGCGGAGACAAGGATACATATCGGAAGGCCTTTTTTCAAAAGTGAATCGATACTTTTTCAAAAAAAATAATGTAACAAATGTATAATAACACTGTAATACATGTATAATTACATTGTAATAAATGTATAATAATAATAATAATAATGTAACAAATGTATACATGTATACATTACAGTGTAATTATAAGTTTATTATAATGTAATGTATAATTACATTGTAATAAACGTATAATTACATTGTAATAAATGTATGATAAGACTAACAAATATATAAAACATTTTTACACTACTTTTTCAAAAATAATCGCTACTTTTTAAAAAAAAATCACTACTTTTTCAAAAGGAATAATGTAACAAAATAATGTAACAAATGTATAATAATAATGTAACAAATGTATACTGACACTGTAATAAATGTATAATTACACATTCATTAATAAATGTGTTATTATATGTTTATTACATTGTAATAATACATTAGTGTTATTATACGTTTATTACAATGTAATTATACATTAGTGTTATTATACGTTTATTACAATGTAATTATACATTAGTGTTATTATACGTTTATTACAATGTAATAATACATTAGTGTTATTATACGTTTATTACAATGTAATTATACATTAGTGTTATTATACGTTTATTACAATGTAATAATACATTAGTGTTAATATACATTTATTACAATGTAATTATACATTAGTGTTATTATACGTTTATTACAATGTAATTATACATTAGTGTTATTATACGTTTATTACATTGTAATAATACATTAGTGTTATTATACGTTTATTACAATGTAATTATACGTTTATTACAATGTAATACATTAGTGTTATCATACGTTTATTACAATGTAATTATACATTTCTTACAATGTAATTATACATTAGTGTTATTATACGTTTATTACAATGTAATTATACATTAGTGTTATTATACGTTTATTACAATGTAATTATACATTAGTGTTATTATACGTTTATTACATTGTAATAATACATTAGTGTTATTATACGTTTATTACAATGTAATTATACGTTTATTACAATGTAATACATTAGTGTTATCATACGTTTATTACAATGTAATTATACATTTCTTACAATGTAATTATACATTAGTGTTATTATACGTTTATTACAATGTAATAATACATTAGTGTTAATATACGTTTATTACAATGTAATTATACATTAGTGTTAATATACGTTTATTACAATGTAATTATACATTAGTGTTATTAAACGTTTATTACATTGTAATAATACATTAGTGTTATTATACGTTTATTACAATGTAATTATACATTAGTGTTAATATACGTTTATTACAATGTAATTATACATTAGTGTTATTATACGTTTATTACAATGTAATAATACATTAGTGTTATTATACGTTTATTACAATGTAATTATACATTAGTGTTAATATACGTTTATTACAATGTAATTATACATTAGTGTTATTAAACGTTTATTACATTGTAATAATACATTAGTGTTATTATACGTTTATTACAATGTAATTATACATTAGTGTTAATATACGTTTATTACAATGTAATTATACATTAGTGTTATTATACGTTTATTACAATGTAATTATACATTAGTGTTATTATACGTTTATTACATTAGTGTTATTATACGTTTATTACAATGTAATTATACATTTATTACAATGTAATAATACGTTAGTGTTATTATACGTTTATTACAATGTAATTATACATTAGTGTTATTATACGTTTATTACATTGTAATTATACATTAGTGTTATTAGTGTTATTATACGTTTATTACATTAGTGTTATTATACGTTTATTACAATGTAATTATACATTTATTACAATGTAATTATACATTAGTGTTATTATACGTTTATTACAATGTAATTATACATTTATTACAATGTAATTATACATTAGTGTTATTATACGTTTATTACAATGTAATTATACATTAGTGTTATTATACGTTTATTACATTGTAATTATACATTAGTGTTATTATACGTTTATTACAATGTAATTATACATTAGTGTTAATATACGTTTATTACAATGTAATTATACATTAGTGTTAATATACGTTTATTAC